ACTTAACCAAGGGTCACACCAGTGGTGGATTAGCCACTGGGCCGACGGGGCTAATCCACCCCGGAAAAAATCCGCCACCGGGTGGTGGAAGTCCGGAGCCCCGGAGGAAGCACGGGGCAGGGCAAGCCCTCATGCCCCGACCCCACTCCCCGGCAGAGGCGCTCTGCAGCCCTCGCGCCCCAACCCCAGTAGCTGTGCTGGGCAGGTGGGGGAAGCCCCCGTGCCCCGACCCCGCTGGGCCTGGGACTGGAGGAGCTCTCGCTCCCTGACACTCTTCCATCCCAGGTAAACAGGTCGCTGGGGCCCTCTCTCTTCTGTCCTTTGTTCCCCTCTGGCTGGAACTGGTTGGTCAGGTCACCGGGGTCCTCTCTCCTCAGCCTTTTGTCTTCCCACTGGCCAGAACCAGCTGACTGCCAAGCTGGGGTGGGCCTCTCAGTCACCAGTTTTTAGGGTTCCCCATCTCCAGGCCGTTGTCCGGGGGTCCCGGCTGCTAGGCGAGGTCACACCTGGTCCTCTGCAACAACAAACCCTCTCCCACCACCTTGTTAAACATGCAACGTACCGGGAAACTGAGGTGTGCACATGCTATTCATGTAAAACAGTACAAAAATCCCCAACTTCGTCACATCTCTCCCCCCTTCGAGACTGAACTTCCCCAGGTCACTGGCTGGAGTGACCCCGCCTCAGGGCTGGGGGAGCACTCACGCCCCGCTCCAGCCCCGGGCCTGTGGCAGGGACAGAACTTCTCCAGTCTTGGAGGGGGGGCAGAAAGGAGCAAATGGGTTGTGGGTCATAGTGTGTGTGGGGGGGTGTGGAATGGGGTGGGACCATGGGTGGAACAGGGGCGGGGCTGCAGGGGAAGTGGCAGAACAGGGTGGGGCCATGGGCGGGGCCATGGGGGAAGGGGCAGAATGGGGGTGGGGCTGCAGGGGAAAGGGGGATCCCCCCACTTGCTCTGGCCCAGGGCCCCATGAAAATTTAATCCCCTTCTGGGTCACACAGCCAGGTATCAGACTCAGTCTAGCTGACTCCTATTCTATTGCTTTACCTGCTAGAGCAGGGTGCTTTCCCATCAACCCCACCCTTAATTGGGTGAATAATCACCAGAGTTCAAAGGAAGGGTTAACAGGAGCCCTAGTAAAAGGGTAGAATAAAAAAGAGGAAGCCATAAATAACTGCAAGGGCCAAAACCTTTAATAAGTGTGGAAAAACTTCATACGACCGCCAGGGGGCACTACAGGACTGAAGAATTGGACCACTAACTTGAACACGAAGGAGACATTCTCTGCTCACTCCCTGCACTGAACTCCCACCAACCCTGAACAGGAGTTAGTGATTAAACCTGAGGAGCAGTGAGTATCATAAAGGAAACCCAGCCTGTGATACTTCATCCTTCTCCAGCACCTTCACTCAAAGGGTCTCTGCACACTTTACAAACACGGGCACCGAGTTAGCCTCACAACGCCCCTGGGAAGCAGGGAATGACTGTTTTCTACAGATGGGAGGGAAATGAGGCAACAGAGATTAAAGGCCACATTAAGCGCTCAGCACTCAGTAGCTCCTGTTCTCAGCCAGAGTCGCTGGGTGCTGAGAACAGTAGAAAGATGGATCTCCTCATGTGGCTGCCTCAAGAGGAGTTAAATGGTTTTGAAAACTTCTCCCTAAATGAAGTCCAAAGAACTTTGTGGCAAGACTAGGATTAGAGTCTGAATCTCCTGGCTCCCAGGTCATGCCTTTTTGCATGGAAAGATAGTCTTGCAGTAATGTCCATGGGGTACATTCTTATACCCTGTTTTAATATTCCATCAAGAACGTGCCCTATATAATCCAATAATTAAAAAGAGAAAAGAGTGAACACATTGTGAGCAACCTGCCTAGGAATATAAAGAGCACTGACTAGCAACTTCGGGTGACCAACCTGAAACCCCTTAAAGGGGACTGATTTTCAGAGAGTGAGTTAGGGGTCTGGAACAGCTTCTATATGAGGAGTGATTAATAAGACTGGGACTTTTCAGCTTGGAAAAGAGACGACGACTAAGGGGGGATATGATAGAGGTCTATAAAATCATGATTGGTGTGGAGAAAGTAAGTATGGAAGTGTTGTTTACGCCTTCTCATAACACAAGAACTAGGGGTCACCAAATGAAATTAATAGGCAGCAGGTTTAAACAAAGAAAAGGAAGTATTTCTTCACACAACGCACAGTAAACCTGTGGAACTCTTTGCCAGAGGATGTTGTGAAGGCCAAGACTATACCAGGGTTCAAAAAAGAACTAGATAAATTGTTCTAGACGGATAGATGGAGGATAGGTCCATCAATGGCTATTAGCCAGGATGGCCCGGGATGGTGTCCTTAGTCTCTGTTTGCCAGAAGCTGGGAATGGGCGACAGGGGATGGATCACTGGATGATTACCTGTTCTGTTCATTCCCTCTGGAGCACCTGGCACTGGCCACTGTCGGAAGACAGGATACTGGGCTAGATGGACCTTTGGTCTAACCCAGTATCGCCAGTCTTATGAGTTTCAGCACTGTCTGGAAATCATCCTCCTTTAAAGGTGTCTCAGGCTGGATTCCCACAAACTTCAGCAGTCACAAGTCACTTGCATGAGTCACTGCCACTTGCAGCACCCAAAAATCACAAGTCACTTCTGAAAGTCTTGGCTCGATGTTTTAGTGATTAATCTTCCGTGGAAGGTGTTTGAGCTTCTGAAAAGACTGGGCACCAGTTGTACCTCACTCTGAAACAGAAACCGTTCTGAATTTTCAGTAACTTATGCTTCACAAGTCGCTAGCTACCATTTCCTTCCAGCGCATTAGCCTAAATGAACAAGCTCCACCAACAGGAGCTTATCACAGTTTCAGTGCAGTCAGGTATCGTTTGCTGAGCACTACCCCACTGCCCTCCAGTCCCCCACAGGCTTTCTGCCACAGAAAATTTGACAAGCAATAATCTGCAAGATACTTGCTGCTCTCCTATTCATTTTATGCCCATGTTTTCAGCAGAGGACATGACCCAGGCCTTGTATTCTAAATCTACACTGCCTCCTGCTGGGATCCTGCGCCAGTGTCTTTTCTAAGCCAAGCACGATCAGGCGAGTATGTGCTTGGATGGGAGGTGAAGAAGGACGTAGATCTATGTGAGAGGCTTATGGAGGCACAAGGTTTTGTGGGTCCCACAGGATCAGTAGGGTTTGTGCTTCTTGCACAGGGGGAGCAACCTCCCACACTCATACATTAATGGAATAATTTGAAGGGAACTCAGCGAGGGATCTTTGCAGAGTTTCTAACCTCTCATCCACAGGTATTTGCTGTGGGGAGTTGATTTGTACTTTTGCCCCATTACTATTACAATCAGAGCTGTCTGTTCGTACAGTACCTAGCAGAGCAGGGCCCTGACCTGTTTGGCCTCTTGGCACTAGGCACAATATAAACGTTAAATATTTTCCAGTTACAAATGTACTGTACATCTCCCCATAAATTTGCACAGCACCTAGCACCACTGGGGCCAGATCCTGGGTGCTACCGTAATATAAGTAACATAGGACTAGCCATGCCAGGAACCCACAGGCACAAGACGATTGCAGGGGATACAGCATTCTCTGTAACACAAGGTCCTCTGCCTTGTAAGACATCTAGCCTCTCAGAGGAAGGGAAGTTAAGAGGATCAGCTAACACTGATTCAGCTGGCAAGGTGGAGAAAGAACAACGGCCACATCGTGTAGAGTAGATTAGCCCGAGTGGGACGCACGTTTGGGTGTTTCACTTCTAACAATGTGTGTATACACACGCACACAACACACACACACACCTGCCCATCTCTAGAAGGGAGATGAACACCCCAGTGAGGGAGGCACATGTTAAGGATTAATTAGGATGATTAAGGATGATTAATAAGGATGATTTAGTTGGTGTTGGTCCTACTTTGAGCAGGGGGTTGGACTAGATGACCTCCTGAGGTCTCTTCCAACCCGGATCTACTATGATTCTATGAATTAGCAAAGCAATCTGCAGCTGGAAGTGCCAGTTATATAGTGCGGTATGAATTTACATAGCGGCCAGTAGGTCCCTATGAGCATGTTTTCTCAATGTGCTTGTTTACAAGGAATTGCTCGTGCCACACTGGTCAGTTTCACCATTCATTCCAACTGGGCTTCAGCTGTTTCCATCCTGTGCTTTGTGAACTGCCAACCTTACCAGTAAGGACATCGCTATGAGAGCTTTCCTTCCTCACCGGCTGCTACAGGAATCAAGCCTGTGAAATCCCTCAAGGCATTTCATTTGGTTCATTTAACTTCAGGAGGATAAAGCATTCAGGCATGCCACGGTGAGACATGCACAATATTAACTGCATTGCTTTGGTCAGGCCAGGCTGCAGCTGGCTTCCATTATACAAGAAACTGCTTTCCTATTCAACTGTGCAAGTATCAGATCACATCTTTGTCAGTGTCGATTATTTGTGCACCTGCAGGCCCCAAATACAATCAGGGTCCAATTCCCGCCTTAAAGAGCTTACAATCTAAGGAGAAAAGACACACACAGGGGAGGGACAACGAAAGAATCTTACACAGGGGGAATTGAGGCAGAGAGAGAAAGTGACTTGCTCAGGGTCACGCAGAATTTTGCTGGGACCTGCACCCAGATCTCCCTGGTCCCATTTCTCAACCACAAGCCCATCCTTCTTCTCTCTTATCTGGTACCTCTGTATTAGATACTGGCATTTAGGATCATGACCAACAGAGCAATTATATTTTCTCTCAAAAAGTTTTCAACTAACAAAGGTGATAGGTGCAGCCCTGGGAATCCCAGGCCAGTGAGCCTTACTTCAATAGCAGGTAAATTAGTTTAAATAAGAGTTATAAGAATACCTAGACAAACATGATATAGTGATAGGAACAATAATGAGTGTGGTATGCTCAAAGGAAAATTACACTTCTCTCACTTATTGGAACTCTTTGAAATCAGTCATCCAAATAGTACACAAAGGAGAACCAGCGGACAATCTATTTGGATTTGATTTTATTTTAAAGAAGCATTTTTTAAAAAATGATTGAGCTGATACATCAAGAAGAAACAATCCAGGCATTGAAGGAGGGTCATTTAGCTGATATGAAGAGATGGAAGAGAGGCTACACAGCTGACTTTAAAATGGCCACAGGCCATCATATTTCCAGAGAGCATCTGGAGACAGGAGGTTTCTCAGCAAACTCAAGATTGTGATCAGAAAACAGCAACTGACGACTGACGGACTTAAAATTTTTGTTGAATATAAAGATATATAGCATGACCGATGTGGGCATAAATCCAAAGCATAGGACCAAGGTGAATACAAACCAGACACCTTTTGAAAGGCAATTGAGAAAGTTTCTCTTGTCCAGTGAATCCTGCACCAGCTTTGCTTCCATAATTTTATTCAACAACGAATGAATCTGGACTCTGTCTTCATTTTCCAGTCTCCTGCACTGAATTTTCCAGTTGTCCTTCCAGCGGGATTATGGCATTTTTCTGAAGCTCCCAGATTTCCTCAAATCCTTCCAGCACATGCCTTAACTTGGATGCCTGGCATTTTTCCTCTTCATGCTGCTGCTCTGCAATCTCCAGCTTGCTATGCAGTTGTTTCAGCACTTCTGGATTTCAGAAGATATGTTTCCCATCCCTGATCTTTCTCCTTGAAAAGACTTGTAATCCTGATAATGCAGAAATCTGGAGGCACATTCCCTTTATTTCATCAGTCACCTGGTCACTGGCTCTTTCCAAGTTCCTGTTTTGGAATTCCAAATGTTTAATCTTTACTTCCCCTAGTCCCAGAATCTCTCTGACATTCTCCACCTCTTTGGCAATCTTCCACCATTGTTCTGAAACAGTCGGTCTTGGCTTGCAAGTTTCTGTCCAGGTCTGTCATACAATTATTTTATTTTATTAGCTCCTGCTTTTCAGTATCAAGGTTGGGAGCTGTTTCTCTAAGATCCCATATTTGATTCTGTATACTTTCATTGGCAACTGTCAGGTCCTGAATCAGGCAATTATCCATGTGCTCGGTCTGATGTCCTCTGATGCAGAGATAAAATTGTGGGCTTTGTGGAAATGAAACGACTCAAAAACCATGCCTAAAAACGTTAGCCAGGTCATTTGTAAGCCTGACTTCACCTTTACTAAATTTTAGGAGATGTACATGATCAAATATGCTCTTACACATTGTCAGTGGGTTATGTTAGCTCACATACTTTGCTGTGAAACATTTTATTTCATACAATAAATTCAAAGTGGAGCATTTTTCTGGGATTTTTGTCTGGACCTGCTTTATGTCAACAAGTGACAGGCAAAACATTCTTTAAAACTTGAATCTAGCTAACTCACAGGTCATAAAATCAGACTGTTCTCAAACATCATAAATACCTTGTTGTAAATATTGCCTATTTCTATGCACTGCTGCAGTATTTTGCGGGATATGAGTATCATCACAGCTATTGTGTTCTTGACCAAGATTTACAAAAGCGACTAGTGATTTCGATTGCCTCAATGTTGGGTTGCACAACTTTTTCAAAGCTTTTTGAAAACCAGCGTCTAAAGTTGCGACACCTACCAAACTAAGGCAACACAAATCACTCATCCCTTTGTAAAATCTTGGCCTTTGTGTGGATGTAAAGGGTTTTCTCCATGTCTTTACTTAAACTTGGCCTTGATCACACCAAGATCTGTTAAAAAGGCAACTAAAAGAGCAGAAGTGTCTCTATGGAAACCTGGGTCTTCTCAAGAAGAACTCCCACCACCTTTGTTTAAAGGGATATTCCAGCCTGCCAGGGACATAAATAACTTGTTTCAAGCAGTAACAAATAATGGAGCAGATTTATGTTCTGAAACGATACAGATATGTCCCTTTAATTAAGACATTCCAAGACTGAAGCTGTGCTATCAAAGCCATAACAATGGGCGGCTATTTACTCATTCCCATTCTCCTCCTCAGCTACAAGCCTTCCCTTTTAAAGGCACACAAAGGATTTACACACACACACACACACACCTCTCTCTCTCTCTCCCTCTTGGGTACAAAATCCTAGAAACTCAGTAAAATAAATCATTTCTATAAACATTGAGGAGTTAAGTGAATAAGACATTTTATCAATAATAATTAAGCATATTGTGAAAGTTCCCATCTGCCTCTTATGTTTTAGGGAGAGGTATAAACTTTTGGGTTCACTATTCTTCAAGGGCCTGTTTCAAAATCCACTGAGGTCAATGGGAGTCTTTCCACCACTTCCAGTGGACTCTGGATCGGGCCTTGATTGCCTAGATTGATGTCAGCCTAATTTCTTGTTAAGCTTTTGCGAGTCGCTGATTTGCAGTGGTGAGCATTCCTTATTATTCTTTGATGTACTTGACACGATCGAGACACCTTGATGTGGACTGATAGTAGGCAAGCAAAGAACCTATTAAGTTATGTTCCAAGCAGCTAATATAAAGGAGCCATTTAAATATAAATATATATTAAATGGGGAACTAATTAAGCAGCAAAATTGAGGAATCTGGCTCACAAACAGGCAAGAGGATCGTTGACAAGACAATACAGTTAAAGGACTAGCATTTACCTTGAAAAGACCATAGTATGTAAAAACCAAAGAAGCGATCATCAAAACGATGCAGATTTATCTCCATTGGTAAGAGCTTTCCCAGGATTTTTAATTTTTAAACACGTGTGGAATGAAAATGTTCTCAAAATGAACTGAAGAAGTTTTAACTTCTTGAAGTTCTGAGAGCATTGCTCCCAAGACAGAGAGTGATGGCCATAAAATCTGACCAGATTTATTACTCTAGTACAGTAGAACTTCAGAGTTACTAAGAGATCTGTCAACCACACACCTCATTTGGAACCAGAAGTACACAATCAGGCAGCAGCAGAGACCAAAAAAAAATGCAAATACAGTAGAGTACTGTGTTAAACATAAACTACTAAAAAAGGAAAGTTTGAAAAGATTTGACAAGGTAAGGAAACGGTTTCTGTGCTTCTTTCATTTCAATTAAGATGGTTAAAAGCAGCATTTTTCTTCTGCATAGTAAAGCTTCAAATCTGTATTAAGTCAGTGTTCAGTTGTAAACTTTTGAAAGAACAATAACGTTTTGTTCAGTTACAAACATTTCAGAGTTACAAACAACCTCCATTCCCGATGTGTTCGTAACGCCGAGGTTCTACTGTACTTTGGCATTAGCCAATCATATGCATGAACTGAAGCAGCACTGAGCCCAGGACATGGGAGGCGATACCTGAATGGGAAAGGCAACATATTGATACATAAGTCCAGCCAAGTGCTAAAAGTAAGGCAGATACCAGAGTTTTAAACTACATGAGAACTAAAACGGAAGAATTTACCTGACTTACCTGAGGCAGTTAACTTAAGACAGCCAGCCATTGTACTCTGCACCACTGACTTTCATGTCAATAGATCAGGGCAATGAAGCCAGACTGTTAGAACTTAGTTGTTAGAAGATGACATAGCTCTGATGTCACAATGCTACAATTTATCAACGGGCCTCAAAAAGCCTTTGGCAAAATCTCTCACACAAAGCTATTAAGAAAACTAAGTAGTGCTGATGGAATCCTAGGCAAGGCACCACCATGGATTAGAAATCAGCTGAGGGATAGAAGCCAAAGAATAAATGGTTCCTTCTGACTGTAGCCCGCCTAGGCAATGGATAGCCTGAAGCAGGATTTAACATGGTTATTTATAAGAAATCATCCTTGGTCGGGGTAAGTTGTGCTGCAGTCCTGCTACCAGCACCCATGCTCAATTATGGTAGCAGCCAGCATGGATATAGTCTGATCATGTGAGGTGCTAAAGAACTCCTCAACCCCCAGGCTCCCATTGTGAGGCAAGGACCCACAGCGCCTTTATGGATCAGGTTCTAATCCCTGTTATTTACAAGGGCTTTGTCTTAGAGATGTCGGGCAGCTGGCATGAAGCAATGTATTTCCATTGAAATCAGTGGAGCTATATGGATATCCACCAGCTAAGGATGTGGCCTGTAGTCCATTTCCCATTACATGGGCCAATAAGACAGCACCAGGGAAAATATAAATAAACTCCTCGTTTATCCAACAATTACTCAAGGCAATGGTACTTCTCTTCAATCTCTGTCCAAATTCCCCAGGGAGTGTCTATCTGATCATCCAATCCGACTTCCCCTAGGGCTGGTGTGTTCTAGTATTGTCACCCCATTTCGTCCTAGGGGTTCACCCAGAAATCCAAGGCTAGTCAGAAACAGATGTCCAGGGAAATCCTTAGTCACAGAAAGGTGAACAAATGGGATTTTTAATGACTGGAGTTTAAAATTACGATCTTATTGCGAGCTGTGAACATGCTGTGAACACTGAGCTGGTGGGGTGGGGAAAATAGTGTCTCGGACCATCCTTTTAGTTGAACTTGTTTTAACTTGTGTCAAGCTACGAGGCCCTGAAAGCAGCTTAATCCAGGTTATTTTAGGTGAGATCTTAACTACAGACTTTTGCAGGCATAGCTATGTCAGACAAGGGCGTGCAAGGTGTAATTTGTGCTGGCAAAAGCCTCTAGTGTAGATACACCCATACCACCAAAGGAACTGCTTGCATTTTCATATGACAGTGAATTTACATAAGATATTGGAAAGCAAAAGTGCTCTGCACCAGGAGATATGTGTATGTAGCTGATGGTGACTGAACTATACAAACCAATTTTTAAAAAGATGAGGCATCAGAAATTAAAGTTCACTTGGAAAATTAGAAGTAAAACAGATGGGAAAGACCTGTTAGCCTATTCTGTCCATCTCCCAAATACTGTACATCTGGCAGATATTGTGGCTAAACGCAGTAACTTGTTATGCAACAAGGGAAGAGGCAGAGATCAGAGTGGGGAAGATGAAGAAAAATCCATCAGTATCCAAGCAGAGAGGGTCTATTACAGGTTTCGCCTAGGAGTTGGACTGAGCTACTATGCACTATTACCATTTGCTGGAAGCCTAGTGGTTCCTCCATCATTTAAGCCCTCATACATTGGTTTAATTTACACCATAAGGGGACAGAAGCGGGGGCCCTGGCAAGAAAAGCAACAGCAGAGTCTAAGAAAGCAGCTCCCACCTGACTTTAATGCATACCTTTTTACACCATCTTCTGGTTCCTCAGTATGGAAATTACAGCAGCTTAGACTCCATATCATGTTCGCAATTGGATATAAGCAGGTCTAGGGAACTCAGTGTAAAATAATCTAGTTTGCACGTACCACTTTAGCCATCACCTCTGGACACCCAGTGGCAAACAAAGAATAGCATGAACAGTAGTCCAGTTTGAGAGGATTGTGTTTATGACTATGAAGTTAATTCTCTAAATCCTCCCTCTCGCACCCTGAGATCAGAAATGCAGCAGTTTTAATAAAATCAACATACAGCTGGTTATAGCCCAGTGTTTAGGCCACAGAGTTCTCCACTCAGATGCAGTTCCAAGTTTCCCGATACTTTAAAAACTGTGGCAACCAGAGGAATTATTAACCCTCTTGGTCCTCCAGATAAGTCACAGGATAAAGAAAACAGATTATTTAGCTTTCATACACACACACACACACACACACACAAGCATCTGAGACAAGACCATTTTTCCTGGAACTTGGCATAGGAAATAATACCTTCTCAAATACCAATGTGGGCAAATGGTGATACTGTAATGGTGACCACTGTATCAGTGTTTTATGATACAGAGCACTGATTTCTTTAACACAAGCTGTGCTTTACAAATGAAATAGTTTTAAAAACAGGCCTGTCACCTTCTTCTATGATTTACCTTCTAACGCACCAGAAATGTTATTTTTGGAAGTGACCTAATAATTAGCAGAATTGAAAACTGAAGCCTACACATCTGAGATGAAAACAGAAAGAGGATCTTTTAATCAGAGGCTGATTCACAAGACGAAGCACAAAGGCGATCCATGAATTAAATCCTCCGATGGTTGCAGAAAGTTCATTCAGAATATTTCAGCTCTCTCTGTCAAGGCGTCCGGCAGCACTGAGGAAGTGTTTGGTGCCGTATACTCCTGCATCCCCCTTTTCAATTATTAAAGCTGTTCAGATTTCTGCTGGCTGCTCCATTATTCAAGTAATCTGAAGCATGCAGGAGTTTCAGTAGTGTGATAACTGAGCTGGGCAGAGGCAGGGAAAAGCGGCCAGCGAGAGATGTAATTTATTAAGATAAACATGGTCTAAGGCTCCACACTTATGTTAAAAAATAAACATTAAGAGATATGAACTCAAACTGGCTTTGCTACATCAGGCTCAGAGGTTCTCAAAAAGACCTTGTCAACCATACAAAATAATCTTCTCCCACCAAGCGGGTGAGAAGGCTGTTCACGACTTTAGATCAGCAATGCCTCCTTTAACATTCAACAAATACTACTTCTGTGGCCCACTCTCAGGGGATCAAAGTTTTGGGCACCCCCAAGGAGCAGAAAGGCAGGTATTCAGTCTCTGAAATGAACATTGAAAATACTTGGCACAATGACTATGATGATTCCGTGTTAGTGGTTGTTCTTTGCTGCTTCTTTTGCAGCAATAATCAGAGGAGTGAGACTAGAAAGGGGCTTCGCAATTTTCAGGAACTGGTGCTAGGAGAGAAGGAGAAAACCAAATTATTGATGACGCCTTTGAGGTCAAGTCTCACCACAGAGTGAAACGTTTGCACCAAAACCATGTAGAGCTCAGTTTAGTTTAGTTACAAGCTCAAAACTCAAACCAGGTTAAACTCAAAGTTTTGCTGAAGTCACAAACCTTTCAAGCAAGCCTGGACTGAGTTCCAGCTTTGCACCAAAATCAGGCTAAATTCCCAGCTTTATGGGCTTGTGACACAAAACTAGTTGACAGGTTTCAGAGTAACAGCCGTGTTAGTCTGTATTCGCAAAAAGAAAAGAAGTACTTGTGGCACCTTAGAGACTAATCAATTTATTTGAGCATGAGCTTTCGTGAGCTACAGCTCACTTCACGGGATGCATCCGATGAAGTGAGCTGTAGCTCACGAAAGCTCATGCTCAAATAAATTGATTAGTTTCTAAGGTGCCACAAGTACTCCTTTTCTTTTTACAAAACTAGTTGAAACTCAGGAAATTCTTCATGGATTCTGAGTTAATTCAAAAATATAAATTGAAAGTTAGAGGATCTTAGTCCTGGATGGAATGAAGTCACAGAGCTCTGCTCTAGTTCATCCACAAGTTATTGAGCTGGATGTGGGAGTCACTGGGTGATTTTCTACGGCCTGTCTTATACAAGAGGTCAGACTCTATCATAACAGTGCCTTCTAGCCTTTCAATCTATTAATATCTGCAAAGCAGAACTGGAGTTTGGCACAGCTATAGTCAAACTGACAATCCAAGTCATTTACTAGATATCCAGGGGTCCATTTGCAGGACACCTTCCACTTACTACAATGCAACACAGATACTGTTGTGCGTCCATCACTATACGTGGTGCCACAAAGCACTGTATGGAGAGATCCTCCTGAGCTGCAGGAGGTGGGTTTTGAGGTAAATTTCAAGAAGTGGAAATACCTGCTGCAGTGGGGAAATAATTCCATGTATAGTGGGTAACAAGTAAAGTTTCTAATGCCCAATCCTACCATAGCACGTCTGGGGGGGAGAGCAGAAGACAGATTCAAAGAGGATCTCAAGTGAGGGAAGTCAGGTACAGCCCAACCACTGAGCACTTGAGGGACATGACCATGCCATCAGTCACACATGCACAACTCCCACTGGACTTCTGTGGGAGTGGAACATACACAAACTGATGGGGTTGAACTCAGTCCTGGAACTGGACATCCATGAAAACAGAGGGGAAGTGGGTGAGAGGACAGTACTGTTCTGCCCCCTGGACGCATTTTGGCTAGAGCACCCGAGCTCCTGAAACAGAAACAGCAGGGATTTAAGGAAGAGCATTACTCTGAAAAGTGAGAGAATGGTACCCAACAAATGGCTAGCGATTAAGGCATGAGTAGCAGTGTCTCAGGGGAAGCAGACTAGCAGAGAATGGACAGGGAGGAAGTCCCCTTTGTAGCCAAGCTGAGGTGAATTAAGGAGAGAGACAGCAGGGTCTGAGACATGGTATAAAAAGACACTTGCAGCAGAAGGGCTGTTGTGGGGAATCATGCAGTTGACAAGGCCAAGAAGAGCAGGGAGAGAAGTCTGAGCAATGAGGGAAGAGTGCTGAGACACACAGGGTTGGGCACCAGCTGTGGAGAAACCATGGGAATAAGGGACTCTGCATCTTGAAGGATCAGGCCCCGGGTGAGCATTTTGAATTTGGTTACAGAATATTCCACCCAGCGGTGGCCAAAACAAAAAGAGACAGGAACCAGGAAAAGAGTCCTAAAGTAAAAAAAATCCTCATCAATCCACTCCCTGTGCCCCTTCAGGCATGTGTGTGCCATCAGCCATGCCATTTTAAACATAAAAGGAATCCTTAGCAAAGGCCAGAGTGCTGGCTTGACTTGAGCGCGCCCCTCCACCCCCATCCCAGTGGTTACCTGTAGCAGTTCTTTGGCAGAGCCTCTTTTCTCTACATCCATCTCGAGACAGCGGTTTAGGAAGTCTCTAAATATGGGCGAAAGCTTCTCAGGGTTCTGCAGCTCTGGAGTACCATTGGTAGCAATGAGATACAGGGCCTGAAGGAAATGAGCACCAAGGAAACAAAAGGAAATGAGGGGCAATTCAGATTCACCCCTTGTTTGAGTGAGATCCCTCCTCCTACAGATTACACAGGCTTCTATTTTTCCTGCACATTCCGTTAGGAACAAATTGTTGCATGATTCATACACGCTTATGTCCATCCATGTTTATTATAAAACAACACTGCTGTCTGCCCTATTTTTAAATGGACAGGATCCAGTCCTCTAGTATTTTACCCTATTTAATCCAGGTTTGGATCCTGTAGCCATCTGGAGGGATTTGCAAGAAGAAAAACATTTCATGCCTTGTCTAAGGGCTTTTATATACAGAGGAGTTTACTAGCATAACTATATCAATATAATTATGCCACTGTGGTTTATACTGGTATAACTCCTTGAGTGGATACTTTTATTCTGCAAGAAGAATGTCAACACAGGGAGTTATACCACTATAATTACAGCAGTGTAACGCTACTGGCATAGTCATGCCTGTAAATGTCCCTGCAAACACAAACCCAGGCCTTGTCTACACTGCCACTTTACAGTGCTGAAACTTTCTCGCTCAGGGGTGTGAAAAAACAACCCCCGCTCCCAGCACTGGTAGCTACTCCCCTCGGGCTGGGGGTGGTTTACAGAGCTGGGAGAGCTCATATAAGGGAAGGTCTGGTGTATATCATATATGGTGTATATCATATATGGACAATGTCAGGCAGGTTAGAGCCAACATTTTTAGATTATGTAAAAACCCCAAAGTTTTACGAAACTATTAACAGGAACATTTTCTATTTTTTTTAAATAGTTGATGAATGTGCTTGGATTTGAAACTTCTCCTGCAATGCTTGCAGCTCATCCACTGCCTGGGCTCAGACTTTGCAACCCATCCACCACTGCCACAGTATGAGAACCAGGCAGTGAAATGATGGAGTGGGATTGCACAGGAGGGGCTGGGCTTGAGGATTTGAGAAGCCAGCCACAATTACAAAACACTATGCCTATCGGTGCTCCTGCTGCCACATGCTCATAACTTGGGATAGGAAGTAACTACCCACAATCTGGCCCTCCACATCTTACGAGTGAGTCTACGAAAGCGCTTGCCATGCTTTGAAGTGGGCCACTGGAAAGGTATTCCTGGAAAGACAGCTTGCGAAGGACAGTTAAATCACTTCACAAAACCGAGACCACGGGTTTCCACTATCTAGAACCAAATTCAGACTTTTAAGGCTCTGAAATGGTCAGAATTTTCCTCATTTCTAATTTCTAGGCAGCATAGGAACTGAACAGAGAGAAATGTCACGAAAGGCCATTCACGCATTGCTTCTGGCCTAATATAGCAGAGAGGTTCAGAGAAGCATCCAGGATGCATCCGTTCACCCTAATGCAGAAACTTCTGAGGTTTCCTTATTAACATATGACTATACAGTAACTATCACAAAAGTGAAGCCAGGTTTGACGCATCTGGCTGACTCTCACATGGCACTGCAGTGACACAGCATTGGCTTACTCTCAGGGGGTTCTCATTGAGGTAAGGAGGCTCTCCCTCAATCATTTCAATAGCCATGATTCCCAGAGACCAGATGTCCACTTTCGGCCCATAAGCTTTCCGCGTCACCACTTCAGGAGCCATCCAGTAAGGTGTCCCCACCATGGTGCTGCGTTTGCTCTGCTCTGGTGTTATCTGGGCACAGAAACCAAAGTCAGCTGAAAGAGAAAATGAGGGTTGGGAAGCAAGGAGACATTTTAAAGATAAGTTAGTTTGTTCACAAAGATATAAAAGAACATAAGAACAGCCATAATGGGTCAGACCATCTTCTGACAGTGCTCAGTGCCAGGTGCTTCAGAGGGAATGAACAGAACAGGTAATCATCAAGTGATCTATCCCATGTCATCCATTCCCAGTTTCTGACAAACAGACGCTAGGGACACCATCCCCGCCCACCCTGGCTAATAGCCATTGATGGACCTATCCTCCATGAACTTGTCTAGTTCCTTTCTGAACCCTGGTATAGTCTTGGCCTTCACAACATCCTCTGGCAAAGAGTTCCACAGGTTGACTGTGTGTTGTGTGGAGAAATACTTCCTTTTGTTTGTTTTAAATCTGCTGTCCATTAATTTCATTTGGTGACCCCTAGTTCTTGTGTTATGAGAATGCCATTAATGCCAGAGAATTGACTGAAAACAAGGCTGAAAATGGAGTTCATATTATGCACTGGCTGATGTAAGTTACGGCAGCAGTTATGAAAGGAAGGATAGTTATGTGATTAAGACACAAGGCATCTGGATTCTGTAACTGACTCACTGTCATGCCGTTGGACAAGTGAACACTTCCACAACCACGTATAAAATGGAGACAGTATTTCTTGTCTCACAACCTCCCTGAGAAAGTAATGTCCTTATAGCACCTTGAAAGCGTAAAGTGCTATATATGCTGTACATTCTAAATGTCATTATTCTAAGGTGACACTGCCAGAAAAGTTAACTGACGCTAAATCTAATCTGGGATTAGGATAGTCTATGTTTTTTCTCATCAGATGTGTCACAGTCGTACTATTTCCACAGTAGATATGTCATCCCATCTAGCTGTATTTGCTTTACAGTGTGAACGCTTATGTCCATACTAAAATTAATTTACTTTTAGACATTTAAATTCAGTTATGGTCAAAAGTAGGAAGGGAACCTTTAAGCAAAGATTTCTGATCCCCATGTCTTTTCAACTCATCTGCTTATTTTGCTGATTAAAACAAGTGTTTACTCCTGTTAGCCTTGCAAAGCCAACACAGCAAGCTGGTTTCTTTCATGCCTCATGCACCATAAGAAATGTTTTCTTACTGGAACTGTGATTCTTCGAGATGTGCTACAGATGCGTATAGTCCACGTAAGTGCGTGTTCGCCCAGTGCACCGAGCTGGAGAAATTTCCCTAGCAGTACCCATAGAGAGGCAGCACTTGTGCCTTGTGGCCACAGCCCCTCCCTTGGCTACATGGGACCACGCTGTCCTAACCCTCCCTCAGGTCCTTAGCACCAACTGCCTGGAAACGATACTCGAATGCAGAGAGAATGGAGGGTGCGTCATGGAATACATGTCTGCAGTATATCTCAAAGAGCCACAGTTACAGTAAGTAACCATTATTTCTTCTTCAAGTAGACACAGCTGCGTATTCCACTTGAGTGACTCACAAGCAGCAGCCCGCCAGGAGGTGAGGATCCGTGTCTACCTAAACGATGACTGCAAGGACACTCTACCAAAGCCTGCATCCACCCTGGAACGTGCGGTTATGGCATAATGGTTCATGAACGTATGTATCGATGACCACGTAGCAGCCCTGCAAATGTCCAATATGGAAACGTCACTGAGGAATGCTATGGATGTTGCTTGAGCCAACATAGAATGAGCTCGCACTCGTGGAGAGGGGGTAACCAGAGCTATTTCCTATGCAGTCTTGATGCAGGATGTTATCCATTTGGAGATGGTCTCTGCAGAGACTGTTTGACCCTTCATGCGATCTGCATACGACACAAATGAGGCAAAGCATGAAATGGTTTAGGCCTGTCCAGATGTCAGGCTAGCCTGACATCTAAGATATGGAGATGCTGCTCCTTTGGAGATGAATGTGGCTTAGGAAAGAACATAGGTATATACATCACCTGGTTCAAATGAAACTGAGAAACCACTTTAGAAAAAAATTTTGGATGCAGGCCATAAGGTCACTTTGTCTTTGGAGAACTGTGAATAAGGAGGCTCTGCCATCAAAGCCTGTAACTCTCTCACTCTCCTTGGGGATGTGATCACTACCAGGAACGCAGTTTTCTGACACACAAGCGGGAAGGGACAAGATGACAGGGGCTCGAACAGAGGTCCCATTAAGGCTGCGAGGATGAGGTAAGGTCCCATAGGGGAACTGGTTCTAGGAATGGAGGATGCAGATGAAGAAGCCCTTTTAAGAATCTTGCTACCGTGGCACTGAAGACAACTGATCTTCCCTGAATGATTGGGGGGGGAGGGAGGGGAGGGGATGAAATGCCGATATCGCTGCCAGATATACTATCAATTAACTAAACACAAGCCCCAATGACAGAAGGTGCGGCACGTTCTCCAAAATGCCCTGGATAGAGGTCACCAATGGTTGGATTCTGCGGGCTAATGGTCACACCGAAAGTCACTTCCATTTCACTGAATAGGGCACCCTGGTGGAGGGTCCTCTACTGTTAAGGAGGACTTGTTGGACAGCCACCAAACACTGTTCTTCCTCCTCATTCAGCTGTGCCACAACCATGCCACTTCCAAAGCCAGCAGAGAGCAGATCTGCTCAAAGAGCAATATCTCGTGAGAGGGGCCCTGAAGGGGGATGGGGAGGGAGGGTGGGAAGGAGTTGTGGAGAGGAACTGGATGGCATAACCCCATCTGATGGTGCTTAGGACCCAGCTGTGGGTGGTGATCAAGCCCCAAGCATTGTGAAAGCAGGCCAGCCTGTCCCCAAAGCAGGGAGATGAGGAGAGGAGCAATGATTGGAACAGTGCTCTGGACCAAGGAGGCCCAATGGGCGCTTGGAGGACAGTGTGTGGACTTGCCGAACCCCAAGACCAACTGCTTTTTCCTGCTGAATCTATCCCTCTTTCTGGGTTTGTCCCATTGCCTTGGAGGAGGGCAAGGCTGGCCAAATGTGTGCTATGGACAATACTGCTGCTCAACGCCTCAGTCGCACCTCTGCCCCACTGGTGTGTACACCCCCAAGGACCGCAGGGTAGTCCTGGAGTCCTTGAAGGAATACAGCTTCTCGTCAGTTTTGTCCAAAAACAGCAGTTGGCTATTGCAGGGCAAATCCTCAATGGCTTGCTGGACAGCAGGGGCAATGCCCAGATTCTGCAGCCAGGAAGCCCTCCTCGTGGTGACTGCAGAGGCCGTCACCCAGGCCAAAGTGTTCACCATGTCTAGCACAGGCTGCAAGGACACCTTAGCCACCAAGCAGCCTTCAGTGACAAATGCCCAAAATTCCTCTCTCAAGGCCTCGAGCAGCTGGTCTGTGAACTCTGACATGCTGTCCAGTTAACAAAATCATACTTGGACCACAAGGGTTGCTAGTTAGCAATTCGCATCCATAAGGAAGAGGAGTTGTAAATCTTCCTGCCCAGGAGGTCCAATCGTTTAGAGTCCCTATCCTTGGGGGACTACCCTGCTGGGCTCTGTCATTCACCACAGTTACAACTAGGGAATTTGGGGCTGGAGGGGAGTAAAACCCCTCAAATCTCTGCATGGGAATGAAACAGCACTTTTCCATGCACTTAGCTGCAGGTGGTAACGAAGCCAGCATGCTCCAGAGGGCCTTAGCTCATTCAAGGAGCGCATACTTTACAGGAGGGCAACTCTCTCAGGAGCAGACTGCTGCAGGATATCCACTAATTAGTGGGTATTCTCTTGCAAGAGCTCCGCTTGGATACTGAGGGAAGAAGCTATGCCCCGCAAAAGCTCTCGGTATGCCTTAAAATCCTCCGGTACCTAAGGCAAGGATGAGCCAGGCAGCACAGAATTGTCCAGAAACGAAGACTAGGCCCTTACTTGAGCCAAAGCCGGATCCTGTTCCAGGGCTGATGGACCCAGATGGAAAGACTACGGAGGCTCCTCAGGGAGAAGGACCCCCAGAGCCTGGGTCTGCGGTGTACCATGATGGTCATCACTGCAGACCTGGCCAGCAATTTTGCCTTAAAGCAAAATGAAGAGCAGGACCTCTGCAACCGAGGAACATCCCATGGATTCCATGGAGACCGTTGACATGGATAATGGCCAGTAAGTGCCAGGCCACAGGACTCCCTCCTGATCATGAGACAAGCACCAATCCTGGTACTCGTAACATTCCATCAAAGGGCCCCAATGCTGGTCAGGCCATGGAGAGCAGGAGAACGACGACCCCGACTCAGTTGCCAAGGAGCCTTGGGATCCTGGAAAAAAGGGTGAAGTGAGACCAGAGGGAGCAAGTAACTGGTCTGATGAGTCCCCCGTCCAGAACAAGTCAGGAAGAGGCGCTATCCATGGAAACGGTACCATCAGTATTGAGCGTGCTGGTTCTGGAAGCGTTGTCGGGCCCGAAGTCAGCAGCAGTACCGGACTGTCTGACGGTACCGACGTTGAGGGAGGTGAAAGCCGCCGTGGAAGCACTTGCAGAGCCAACCGTAGCAGTGAAGAGGAGATTCCTGGTACTGAGGTCCCTGTACTGATTCTGGCACTGACCCTGCTTCCACCACCTGTGGAAGGGGAACATTGGGGTATGGTGCCAACAGACCCGAGGGCTCAGCAGCTCATTCAGTCAACAGGGCTACAGATGACACAGCCCTGGCGAAGTCCTGGACCAAAGGAGAGATTGGGACCAAGAGGCAGAGGAGGTCTGTGGCTGCCTGATACACCACCAATGTGGAAACAGTCAGTCTCAGTATCTCCCTTGTCGGTACCAGACTCAAGATGCCAGAACCGGAGTCAACAGCACAGGGTTTCTAGCCTTCCTTCTTGGTACCGGGGAAGGGTTAGAGGTACCTGTGCCCTCCCACGCGCCGGCAACAATTCTGTGCTGGTCCGCGCTTTTCCTGGGTCAGGCGGAAGAGTCACCCCCAGACCTGAAGCAATCTCAGTTGGTGTCATGGGACCTTTTCCTCAGCGCCGTCAGTAGGTAGGGCTCCTCAGTTTCTTTAGAGAGGTGACTGCTCCAGAACATGAAGTGGCAGCTCTCTCAGAACCCCAGGGTGATCTGCAACCCAGTGAGGGCCCTGGCACCGAAGCAGGCCTGTTCAAGCAGGGGCTGCTTCAGGCAAAGGTCCCACGCCTCGAGTCTGTTTTCTTAAACGAGTTGCCAATCCCACAACACTCTGATGTGGGCCTCACCGAGACAGAGCAAGCACTGGATGTGCAGATCGCTCCTCCACAGAAAGGACAACGTTTAAACATTGATGGGGTCATCACCAAGGAAACAAACTACCACAACTAACGCTACTCTAACACTAAGGCTACTACTAACTAAAAGAACTAGATAAGTTCATGAAGGATAGGTCGATCAATGGCTATTAGCCAGGATGGGCAGAGATGGTGTCCCTAGCCTCCGTTTGCCAGAAGCTGGGAATAGGCGACAGGGGATGGATCACTTGATGATTACCTGTTCTGTTCATTCCCTCTGGGGCACCTGGCATTGGCCACTGTCGGTAGACAGGATACTGGGCTAGATGGACCATTCGTCTGACCCAGCATGGCCGTTCTTATGTTCTAACTACACACAAGGGAAAATAGTAAACTAGTTGAGAGGTAATGAGGTTAAGATCACACAGGGCTCCGACTCCAGCCACAGGCAGTAAGAAGAAACTGAGGGAGGGTCAGGACAGCATTGCCTCATGTAGCTAAGGGAGGGGTTATGGCCATGAGGCATGAGTGGCGCCCCCTCTGGGTACTGCTAGGCAAATTTCTTCAGCTCTGGTGCACTGGGTGCACGCACACCTAAGTGGAATACATATCTGCATCTGCTCAAAGAAGAAACATAACTACCAGCAAAGTTCTGCCGGTAGAATTTTATTTCAGGTTGAGGTAAGGGGGAAGAACACACACAGCTTAAATTTTAGATCCCAGGTTGAGCCTTGCACCCAGGCTAATAGTTAGAAAAATCATCTATGGGTTACAACTGAGTACATTTGTATTGGAGCCATTGAGAGAATCAGCCTGAAAGCTTACTGCACCATTTTCACAGAGAGACTTTTCTAACTTAATCCACACTAGGCAGCTATCAGAATGCAGTTTAAAAAAAAATTCTATAACACACATGGCATCTTTGCCTCTGGCTAGCTATTCATAGCTTGATACAAAGTCAAAACAGTGGGATATTGAACTGCAGTTCTACTCTGAAAAGGGATTACGTAAAAAATATAAATGACACCTTCTTACTCAGCAGATCTGCTCCTAGAGTGAATTTGGATTTATATCTGCTCATGTTACTGACTAAAGCAGAGGTTTATTTATTTATTTATTTATGTCTCCTGTTAACCCTGGAGCAGGTTTCTCTTCCATCCAGTACACCATCAACAGAGTTCTTTACTAGGTTCCAACCAATTACCCCTGTGCCACCCCATGGAAAGCAATATGATTGCACAGGTGACATTAAGGACATAATGTGGCATGCAGAATCTTTACCACTGGTGATAATGTGCAAGAAGGAAAGAACTCAGCTTGACTCTCAGAGCCCAGGCTGAGTGGGCATGACTGACAGTTTGTAAAGATGGAAAACATGGAACCCCCTCAATGCTAGTTCATTGTTTTTCATACTAATGGTGCTCAGTCTGCAAGTAACGAGATCTCTTCCGCCCATCCTAAGTCATCCTTTTTAATCTAGCCCAACCATATCTAAAGCTATGGTCTCAGTGCACAGCTATTTATCCCTGCAGCTACCATTAACGCAAATAGGTGTCACTGCCTATTGCTATCCTCACAACACAACTGTGCCTTGGAAGGACAACCTGCCCTTTAATTTGCAAGCTCACAGTTCGAGTCATCATCAAGGCTGCCTTCTGCATACTTAGTTTGACGGAGCCATCCATTCCTAGTAGAATGTTGTCGCTCTTGATGTCTCTGTGAATGACTTGGCTTGAATGCAGGAATTCCAGAGCCTGAAGACACTATGAGAAAGTTCACAACATGGTATTTTTTTAATAAAGCCATTCAACAACCTAGAAAATTGCATTTAAAAAGGTGCAACTGACCAACTAGTTGAATCTGAAGATATGCACTTTTAAATAACATGGCCTTAGTTCCTTTACTATAAGCAACATATTCTATCTCCACAGTTTAATGACCGCATTTCTGATGTGACACACAAGTGATATGTCAGAGTATCTCAAATCTGTGTGGAATGGAGACCGATCTGGGTAGAAACAAAGGACCCAACTTGGAATGAATCATCATGAACTGAGCAAAAAATGGATTTTTCTGTTCATTGGCAATTGCCCCCAAAATAAACATATTCATAAATAAATTATTTTGGGGTCAAACCGAAAAAGGCATTTTTTAAACTTTTTAGCAAATCAAAAAAAAAATTTTTTTTAAGTCAAAACTAATCAAAATGTCTCAATAATGTCAAAACAAAAAGTTTCACTTCTACCCAAAACATCTTGTTTCAGTTTTCCGGCATTTTGACAAAAGCAAAGGGAAGGATTCTCAAACAGGGAGGAGGAGGTTGGGTGGAGCCTCCCGTATAAGCTTTTGCCCACAGGTGAGAGCAGCCGCATGGGATGTGGGAAACTGAGGGCTAGTCTACACTGGCAACGCTAAAGCGCTTTCATGTGGTTTGTGTAGCCACGGCAGAGCACTAAAAAAACCACCTCCACGACGGGCGCAGCTCCCGACGCCGGTGCACTGTCAACACTGGTACTTTATAGCGCTGAAACCTGCTGCACGCAGGGGGGTGCTCTTTCACACCCGTGAGTGAGAAAGTTGCGGCGCTGTAAATTGCCAGTGTAGACGAGCCCTGAGATTCTCAACAGCATCCCAGGGCAAGGGGCTCACTGGCATCCGGGAGCGAGTTTCAGCTGCCCTGACGAGTTGATGTACCCCAACTCATTAATGACATACATGACGCCTTGTAGATACAGGTTACAATATCAATAGAAAGCTAATGCCAGATTCTTAATATTATTGAGTGTGTATGTACAGGGGACAAATTCAAATTTACAAACATGGGGAATTATGTTCTTAAAGTGTATCTGCCAGGCAGAGCTGAAGTTACCCTACCCTAGACAAAGGAATGTGGTTCTGCCACCTTGAAGGTACTTCCAAGGTTGAATAAGTGACAATGGGAATGCAATTTACACAGAAAGTTAATAGGACCATCAAGTAAACAAGGGGAGGAGATAACCACTCAGCATCACAACACGGGGGGAGGGGGAACGGACTGCAAGAAACAGATCAATTTGCATTTTAACAAACACCAGCAGGGGAAGAAAACAGCATGAAATTCCCTTCACCAGGAGACTCCATGGTGCCTTCCTCACAGCTTGAATGAACTTTACTTTGGGGAGATTAACCTTTAGAAAAATCCATTGCAACAGTTCACTACACTATGAAAGAGAGGGGCAAAAAAAATCCCAAGTTATCTTCCATCTAAAAAGACAATCTTCCTGGACTTTGTGGAAGAACCCAACCAGAGGGGAGGTCAGCCATCTTGCTGGAAAGTAGATTGGTACATTGAACAATGGTTGTAGCTTGCTTTGTTAAGTCTTAGCTGCTAGAAAGCATTTTTCACTTCTATTTGCCTGTAACCACTTCTAGCTCTATTCTTTATACTGGAACTCACTTAAAATCCTATCCCCTCTTGTTAATAAACTTGTTTTACTTTTAATCTAACCCAACCCGGCATTGCCTTTGAACTGAAGTGATAGTTAACTCCAGTTAAAAAGTGATGAGTTGGAGCAAACAAGCCTTATTATTCCTCTGAATAGTCCAGGAAAGGACTGGACATTTCAGAGCTGGGACAATTCAGGACTGGGGGCTGTTCGTGGGCTAGGGGCTGTTCATATCGTCATGTGTGACTAAAGAGAGCAAGAATGAACCTTCAGCCTTGCAGTGAGGGCACTTATTTAAAACTTGAGCTGGGAGAACCAAGTTGAAGTCCCAGTTCGGCATCAGGCAGATGAGGAAACTGAACCCAAGTCTCCCACATCCCAGGTAACTGCTCTAGCCACAGGGCTATTATAAGGAAGGCACCACCACCACCATTTTGTGAAGCCTTTGCTTTGTTTTCTTCAAAAGGCCCAAAAACTGAAATGAAGTGTTGTGGGGTTGAAACAAAATATTTCCTTTCCATGGTACTGAAAACATTTCAACTTTTTCTGTTTGGCTGAAACTGGTTGGTGAACTCAACACAAATTTGTGAATAGCTTCACTCACCCAAAACTGAGTTTTTCAGGAAAGAAACTTCTGGACAAATTTGCCTAACTCTAGATCTGAGGGTTAAGGCATCAAAATGTTACCATGCTGCAAGGGATCATGTGTTGGGAGCCCTAAAAGTGATTTTGAGCCAAATTAACTAGATGTGGGATCTGGGATTGCCCTGAAAACAGGGACTATCCTAGAAACTCCAGAATAGGTTGCAAGCCTGTCTGCAAACTGAATGTTAACACTGAGATGATGGATCCACTAACGAGGCTGTGAAGAAATAGGTCAAACCAAATTTAAAAAATAAACACTGTGTATGGGCTCCTCTGGCACAACCTGGAATAAATAGTTTTGCAATATCACAAGAGTACTCCCAGAAGACTCCTCTGTAGTAGTGAGCTGGCCCATAAAGGCCCAGGAAATAACAGAGCTTCCACAGTTCTTCTCTCTGATGCATGTTTTTCAAAGTTTCTTCGGTATAATTATTGAATTGTAAACAACATTTGAAAAGGAGAGAGATTTAAGAACTGCACCACAAGTGGAAAAAGAGCAGCTTTACATTCAAGATTTTCAGGCCAGATGGGACCATTGTGATCACCTAGTCTGCCTTCCTGCATATCACAGAGCACAGAACCTTACCTAGCATTATTTCCATCAGGCCCATAACTTGTTTGAGTTATAGCACAGCTTTTCAAAAGGCATCCAGTGTTGACTTAATGATTGCAAGTGACGGAGAATCCACCATGTCCCTAGGCAGACATTGGCAGGCAGGCCTTACTTCAAACAAGGAACTTTAGGTAACAGAGATTCAAATTGTTAAAGATTTACTCTGTTAACAAGACTGCATCCATTAGCTAATGTTTGAACAGCACTGTGGCATGCTACTTCTGTGCTCAACTCATTGGTGATATTTCTTTTAAATGTTTCTGTCGCAGTTAAGCTATGTCCAACAGAACTATTAAATATCTAGTACCAAGTCAAAGCAATCTAGTTCCATGTCAAAGAACATTCCAAGTTATACTGTAAAACCATGACACTTCATGGAAACTTTAATTTTATTTATACATTTCATGGTAAGAACTCGTTCTGACGAGCAGAGCATAATCTTACCTCTCGACACACAGCTGCTATTTGTCCTTCATCCATGCAGGTCTCTGTTACAACATCCGTCAGGGAGCCGCCTGCCAAATACTCCATAACTACCCACAGTTCGTCTCCTACAAGGTAACTATAAAGGGCCAAAAAAAATAAAACAGACGGTAGTTGTATTTCTTTAGCCAAAAAAACTCTGAGTAAAGCTATTTTTAAAATGTAGTGGGCCACTAGGCATCTGTGCCTCATTGTAAAGTCCAAAATGCCTGGAGAGAGAGTGTGGAGTGATGGGAACAGCTTACAAGCATGGCTGAGAGCTCTTTTTTGTTCAGCATATCACCAGGTTGAATCATCACTGGGATTCAGTCTGTTATCATCCAACTTTAAGTTCTTGGCCATTTTTACTTTATGCATTACACTTGTGTGGTGTACAGCGATAGTAATGCATGCATCTATGCCATGCCAAGAGTCCCAGACCATTGTTATATGAGAGGTAACTCAACCAATCTCCACCCTTACTTTGCAGCTTTCATTGGCTGTCTGAGGGAAACTGCGCAGATGATGGATTAGTGGCCAAATTGCCACACCTCTGTACCTAACTGCCACCACACAAACCCACACAACTCTCCCAGCACAACACAACCACCCCTACAACACCAAAACGAGCACATACAATAAACCCCAAAATGCGCACACACACTGCTTAACCGCAGCACACTCTCTTCATTCACCACTTTTGTACAAATCAACAAATATTCTAGCACAGTCTCTCCTGGAGACACAAATCAACACAACCACCCACACGACATAACCAGCATACACATGGAATTTGCTGTCTGTTATATCCAATTATTAAGTTCTCAGCCATTTTAATCCTTTTATTTTATTTTTGACATATGTGACTATGAATTAACCCTGTGACGGCATGGGCTTTCAGCTATTAGTTAACAGACAGTTAATTTAGCAGTGCTAGAGATTTAAGTTACTCAGATAATATTTCTGGTACTCCAGTGATTTATGATTCGATGTACCCGCCCCAAAGATCTTCGATCTTCGTTTAAGACAAGAGAGAACATGTAGATAAAATAAAAGGTGTGGGAGGGGAAAGGGAGGATGGGGAAATAGTAATATGCTCCTGTTTTGTCATGGATCAGCTGTGTGCACAGTGTAAGAGTCATTTTTTTAGAAAATATTGTACATCCTTAAAGTCTGATCATTAATTTTTTTCTTGCACCTATGACACCTAAGGATCTCAAAGCAATTTGTGAATGACAGTATCCTGCAAGGTATGCAAGCATTATCACCATTTTACACAGAGGGAAAATGAAGGCACAGAGGTTAAACAAATTTTCCCCAAACAACATCACAGAGTAGCAGAGCCAAGCTTACAGACCAGGCTTCTGGCTCCTAGTTCTGTGGGTTAATCACAAGAACATCCTTGGGCCAGATTCTCACCTGCATCAAGATCTGCTTGGTGCAGGGGCAAAGGGCATGTCCACTGGGGAGCTGATTATGGCTGCCTGATCCTCAAATTGCTCTGGCTCAGGCATTAAATTAGAGCTACCTAAAGGACCATAATGCCAGCTGTGAATCTAGTACAGCAGGGCTCAGTCCTGACTCTTTCCTGGTATGTCCACAACAGAATGGGACAGGTAAGGAGATGGCTGCATATGACCTGGTTCTGTTGGCCAGTTCACAATTTCCCTCTTCCAGGGGGCTGTGGTGAAATCCTAGTCCCTTTAAGGAATACATGTGCTCTTGAGGTTATAAACAAGACATTGGGACAGCAGACAGAAAAACAAGAACTCAAATCAGATTAAGAGCTGCTGTGCTGGTGTTGACATTGTGCACTAGCATCGATTAAAGGACGCTTCAGCCTGATCAGATGATCAATCCTACTGCATCTTGAAGGCCAGAGGAAAATGTAATAGACAGTCTCAAAGTAATGAATAATTCTCCAAGTTGTCAAAGGTAGAAAGCAAGGTGAGTGTCTCATTCAGCGATTAGCTAAAATCTTTCAAATAGGAGAATCAAGAAGTTTTAAAGCATATTCTGGCTTTAAAATAGACAGTAATGATTCTGAGGCCACACAGGACTGCTTCGGGGTGTGGGCTTTCGCTCCAAAGTAACAAAGACCATTTACACTTGCACTAAAGGAGACTCTTTAGTTAAATGAGGACAGGTATGGTCTAGTGGTCCGAGCACGTGACTAGGAGCCAAGGAGATCAGAATCCTAGCTCAACAATGTCTTTCAGAGTAGTACTGGGCAAATCCCTTGAGAATCCTGCAGGAGTGTACACAGGGCCCAGGAACATTCACCGACTGGCCTACGTTTCCCTGCACGTGCAGAGAACACAGTCTCCGGACACCAGACATCCATGGGGAAAGGAAGCGGTGGTGCAATGCCCCCTTTGCTGCTCTGTTTGGAGTCTCTTCCCCAGCAGTACAGATTCCATAGAAACTGGGCTATGACTGGTTCGGCTGCCTGTGCAATAACTCCCTCTTGAAGGGGACTATAGGGTTGGAACAGTACAAATTTCTTCACGAATATTCCGGCTGACCCTATGAAACTGGGTTATCCTCCTCCTAATGGACCACCAAAGCTATTGTATCCCAAATTCCCCCCCCCCACACTTTTAAGGTTTTGTGTCTTACCCATCATCATCATCTTTCCAGCCAAGTACAATTAGACATGGGTGCCTTGCAGATTCCATCAGTACCTTTAATTGATCAGTGGCACTTTCCTTCCCTGCCATTAGTGTCTTCAACAGCATAACTCAACTTGCCCAATGGGCAAGAAATTGGGAGATCACATGTCCCGCATGACCATACACAGCGCAACCCAGTGAGCACCAGCTGGAAGCTGAAAGTAATTTTGAGCAGCGGACAGTACAAGCCAAGAAGCATGCTGGGAATCTGAAGCTAGGCCATCAGCAGCCGTATGTGCATGCCAGAGCCTGGGCACCTAAATAACTGAGAGATCTTACACAACCTGCAAGGATGCAGAATTCATTCAAGCTTCCTGCCAGCTCCAGCTGAGTAAATGTGATTTGAGGAAGCAGGCTGGTGCCACCTCCAGGCTCATTTTGATCTTTAACCACAGCAGAGGCCAGTATTAGTCACTGAATTGTTTATTGCAGATATGTTTCAAATACTTTTTTTTTTCCCCTGGCAGTTTGTGAGACAGGAAAGGGGACTGTGATTACAGATACAGGACCGAGTTCTGTTCCCTCCCACTGACCTGCTGTATGACCTTGGGCACATCACTTGGGGTCAAATTCTGCTACCCTGACTCATGCTATGTAGTCCTACTGAAATGGGGCTCCTTATGTAATGAGATGTTACTCAGCGAGAGTCAGGGTAGGAGAATCAGGCCCAGATCCTCTCTGTACCTCTGTCTCCACAGCTGTAGAACAGTGATATGTGTTTCTCAGGCTTACAGTTTACAAGGTACTTTGAGATTTTTCTATAGAAGACAACATATAAACACCAACCATCACTATAAACCCACTCTTGTGAAAAATCCTATAGAATTCAGTAGAAAATGACAGCTCTTCCACAGGGTTTTTGGACAATCACAAGGTATTTGATACAAAGTTATATTCCTACTATAGAGCACTATTAATGTTTTAAAATCTTATAGAGAAATTAGCATTAGCTATTAAATTTTTAGAGGCGCACAGTACAGTATTACATTCCTAGTAGCCCTATGAGTCTACTCCTATTCAATTGCATAGGGCTTTTCCATATAGGTGACTACAACTGAAGGTTTTTATTTCTGTGGGGCTGGTTGGTTGGTTTGTAAAGGAGATTTCTCTCAAAAGTTGAGAAACAAAAAGCCTCTATGTTTACCTCACTGGGGCTCTGTATTGGTACAGGGGTCCATCCATATGCAAAGCACTAGAAGATTGGGATTCAAAGTAAAAAATACATTGCACTTGCATAGTATTTTTATACAGCACCTAGCACAATGGGGACCCAATCTGGTTGGAACCTCTAGGCACTCCTGTAATAAAATACATTTCAGATGGAGTTCCTAGTGATGTACAAACGTGGATAAAGCATGATTTTACAGTCAGAGGAATTGGGGCAATAGAAAGGCCTATGATCTGGTTTTCACACAGCTGCTGGAAGCCTATAGATCCATAAGGGGCTTAGATCCCTCTCTCCCCAGTCCAGTCGCCTAATTGCAAGGGTATCCTTCCCCATGCTGCCTTTCGTAATAATAGATTTGCTAAAGCAAATTTGGGTTCCAATCGGAAATGCATTCAGTGTCCAAGAAAGGACAGGCCTGATTCACCACTACATTATTCCCTTTTTACTCACCAGCAGAGCCCCAGGTTCACATTGGTGTAAAACTGAAGTACCGCAGTAGACCTAATCTCTACATAGCATTCCCCCATCTTGTAAGTATTACAGAACTATTTGGGAGCTGCTTTGCACATTGCCTACAGCAGTAGAATGATCAGTTCTATTCAAGATGTCTTTTGAAAGAAGGGCGATGACAAAAGCTGCAGCTTGTTTAAATGCCTCCAGTACATAATACGACAGGGCATGTAATTACCTTATAGCCCAGATTTTCTTAACGGAGAAGGCAAGTGCAATACATGTACTGTTGCACAGCTTCTCTAATTAGATAATAAATGCCTCTTTTAAGCAACCTTATTGTCAAAGGAAGTTATCACACTGCACTCCATCAACCAAGTTAAATTCACAGCATTTAATCTTGTGTTCTTTGCAACACTCTCCACAGATGGGAAGAGACATTTAAAATATAAACCAAAAAAGAGAACAGTCAAGAACTAACTCCCAGAAGTCACATTACAAGTCACTGATGGCCAAATATTTATGAACGTTCTCCATTCAATAGTGGGACAGGTTCAGCCCTCTGCAGGGCTTGAATTAACAGCTCTGTTTTAATTGTGAGAGGGTTGGTGGCAGGGTGCAGGGGTCTGGATCCCCTTCTCCTGCCTCGGTTCACCTGGATTCAGAATCCCATATGGATGTGCTACAAGGCTCACTCCTCTCCCAAGTTTTCCTGGAATCATGGGGAGAACTGTACAAACCGGGTATGGTGGGTGGTGTAACTGAAGGTTCTGGTGAACGTGTCGGTGGTTGGGAAGGATTCTCAGGACTTATTTGAATAAAATTAATATGTGATTTAGAGGATTATTGTATGTGATGTGCTGAGAGAAGCAGATACAGCAGAACCTCAGAGTTAGGAACACCAGAGTTACAAACTGACAGGTCAACCACACACCTCACTTGGAACTGGAAGTATGCAATCAGGCAGCAGCAGAGACTGGGGGAAAAAAGCCAATATAGCATAGTACAGTGTTAAACAAACTACTAAAAAAAATAAAGGGGAAGTTTAAAAAAAAATTTGACAAGGTAAAGAAGCTATTTCTGTGCTTGTTTCATTTAAATTAAGATTGTTAAAAGCAACATTTTTCTTCTGCATAGTAACTTTCCACGGCTGAATTAAGTCAATGTTCAGTTGTAAACTTTTGAAAAAACCACCATAACATTTTGTTCAGAGTCACAAACATTTCAGAGTTACGAACAACCTCCATTCCCATGGTGTTTGTAACGCTGAGGTCCTACTGTAGGCACAAAAATAGCCAGACTGATCAATAACGGACTGGTGTCTGTCTCAGATACACACTGGGAAAAAGCTGAAGGTAATATAACCCTCCAGTGCCTTTGCAATGTCACTTCTCCATCTCAACACACCCTTAGTTTTATTCATAACAATTTACATTTATATAGCTGCACCTGTCATCCCTAAAGGTACTAAAATGCTTTACAAGATTGCAGTATATAGAGCTCCACTGAACTGCAGCTCACTGATGCAAAAGTGTGAGGAGCAGCATTTTTTGGTAAAGAAGGGCAGACCCCTTAAGAAAAGATCTTGGGGACTTTAATATCTGTGCAGAGCAGATGCGTATTCTGTTACACAGTCTAATCTGAGAGATCCAGAGACAAAACTTCATGGCTATTTACCTACAGTGCTTTTGAAGGGCTGGAGTAAGTCAAGATTTAAGTGTGTGGCCCAGAGCCAAGGGGCTGTATTCAGGGCCCTGAATGCTCTGCAGCAACCCGGGCCTTAATTCTGTGGCAGTTCCATTGAAGTTAAATATGGAGAACTTTAATGAAGTATGAAAATGGCTCATGCAACCAATACACAGTGCTCCACATTATTTGATACTAAATTCAAGTCACTGTATGCAGTCCCCACAGTTTTGGACATGCCACAAATGTTTGTTCTGACAGCTCATAATTGCATCTTAATAGTTACTGGGGGAGGTTAGAGGTTCTGGCAGCTGGGAAGGAAACAAGTGAAGTTTTTGGCAATTGGGAAGGTAGTTTGGGATTAGAGTAAAAGCCTTTTAACTGGATGTTCCTTCTAAAATGGTCAACAATAAAACAATTGACAATGCTGATGTTTCTGCCGTCATCGTTAGGTTTCAGTGTGAACACATTGTTGGGCTGAAAGAGGCAGTTCACGGCTCTCACAGATGTGTTTCAAACTGTCTACAGCAGTGGTCACCAACCGGTCGATTGCGATCGACTGGTCGATCCTGGACACTCTCGCAGTCGATCACGATCTCCGGCCACAGCAGCCCCAAGCCACTCCCAGAAGCAGCCAGCATGGACCCGCGGGGGGGAAGGGTCTCTGCATGCTGCTCCTCTCTGCGGGCACCACCCCTGCAGCTCCAATTGGATGGAAACGGGGACCTGTGGCCAATGGGAGCTGCGGGGGCGGTGCCTGCAGAGAGGAGCAGCACACAGAGCCATGCCCCCCCCCCCCCCCCCAAGGGGCTGCAGAGGCATGTTGTCCCCTTCCAGGAGCAGCGTGGCCACGTGGTGCACTACTGGCTGTCAGGGTGGAGGGTGGCCAGGCTCGTGATGGGGAGGAGGTGCCGATGTGCCTGAGTGGGGCCGGGGTAGGCAGGGAGCCTGCCTAAGCCCCGCTGTGCCAACACCCGGGAGCCACCAGAGGTAAGTGCTGCCTGGAGGGAGCCAGCACCCCAAACCCCAGCCCTGAGCCCCCTCCCAGAGCCAGCACCCCATAAGCCCTCCTTCACCCCAACACTCTGCAAAGCCCAGAGCCCCCTCCTGCAACCAAACTCCCTCCCAGAGCTTGCACCCTGCACCCCACCCCCTACCCCAGGCTCTACCCAGAGCTCTCTCCCGCACTGCGAACCCCTCGGCCCCAGCCCAGAGCCTGCACCCCCTGCTGAACCCCAAGCCCCTGACCAAGCCTGGTGAAAGTGAGTGAGGGTGCAGAAAAGCAAGCGACAGAGAGAGTGGGGGATGGAGTGAGAGGGGTGGGGCTTCAGGGAAAGGGTGGGGCCTCAGGGAAGTGGCGGGGTAGATCCTGGGTTGCCCTTAAATTCAAAAAGTGATTTTGGGCGTAAAAAGGTTGAAGACCACTGGTCTACGGACTCGGGGAAATATCGCCGCATTGATATATACACTGGGCACATATACATGGCGATTTTCACGGTCATGAGGACTAGAAGCATTTTATTTTTTTTTAAAGGTGAAAGCTTAACTTCTGTGTGGAAAGGTGGATTTTGTGGCTGTGGTATCAGAACGCACAGCGCAGCCAGAACGTTGTGCCCCAGGGCTTGTCTACACACAGTTTTGTACGGATTTAACAATATTGGCTTAGAAATACAGACAGCTAAATCAGTACCAAAAGTACCCGCGGACAAGCACAAGAGGTGGTGCTGGGGCACAACAGTCCAGTGGGAGCTCCAGGAGATGGCATGTCTGAAGCAGGCCAGTGCCTCCAGGGGTCTAACAGGAAAGCAGCAGCTGATGTGCTCTTCCAAAGGGCACAGCATGTGCTCCCAACCCTAGGAGGGCCAGCTCTGTGAAGGGAAGAGCCCTGCTCCCTTTGGAGAGGTTACTGCCACCTTGGGCAATATCTCTGCTCAGCCCTGGGGCTCCCTGAACAGAAAGGGCTTGGATTGTATCCAGCCCCAGAGAAGGGGTGCATAGGATGGGGAGAAAGGCTCCTTGCACCCACTTGCACTCCATTATTCATACCTAGATTGTGCCCAGCCCTGGGTATGTTTTCTATTCAGCAGCTCAACTATTATATCCTGACTCGGAGAGGAACAGTCATCTTAAGAAACTGCTAAAGGAGAGTGTTCCCTGGGATCCTGGCAGGCTTATTTCTCTGCAAGCTGGATGTCAGCACCAGTACAAGAGGAAAGAAAATGTACATATCATGGCTTAGTTTCCATTTCTCCTTGGGTGGCCAGAAGGAAATTGCTTTCAGTGTCTAAAATGCAGCAAAGGAGAGGGATACAACTTGGAATCCTGACTATATAGCACTAAAGCCTTCCATGCCAGCATTTTTACAGTGAATCAAGTGCCAGCGAAGGCTATTTGATGCAGACACCTGCCCACTAAGAACTGGACTGAGAGCACCAAACTCATGGCACATAGTTACTATACAGTGTTACTGTCATCACCCTGGGTTGGATTCAAACAGGATCACCGAGGAAGGTGAAAGGGCTGCCAGTGGCTATACACAGCCCATCTTTTAAATCAGAACATACCTGTCCAAGTAGTTGACAATGTTGGGGTTTTTGTTTTCCCTCATTACAAGGATTTCATTAATTATAAGTTCTTTCTTGGGCTGCTGTTGCAAATTCATCTGTTTGATTGCAACCTAAGAGTAGGAGAGAAAAAAATATGTAAAGCATTCATATATTAACATCCCTAAAAATCTGCCAGTTGCTAGTCTCTGCTACTTAAGTCCAATTTTCAAATAAAGTTTAACACCACTTTATTATCTCAGGGTACTCAGCTGTTTTGTAACAGGGCAAGTACTTTCATCTAGTCCACTTCCAGAAGCATTCAGCGTCGCAAGCAAAAAAATATAGAGAGACAAGTATTTTCCTACTAGAAGTCTGCGTCATAGCTGGACAGGCTTGCTCCTTGCAGTGCTCTTGGCAAAATAACAAATAGCTCCTTACTACAATATGGATTGATTTCTCTAAAAAGCTCATTCTTTAAGGAATCCAGCTCTCTTTATTTTGGATCAGCATCTTCTTTCAAATGCAAGTCAGGCTCCAAGAAATTTGTGGGACAAATTCATTTAGCTTAAGTGCAGTTTTCCAAGGTACTAATTTCACTCTGTTATAACTAGAGCTACAATGGTGAGCAGCAGTGTTCAGATCCAAAGTTTGGTGGTGTTTAGATCTGAGAGTCTGGTTCAGGCCCATCTCTAGCCAAAACTTGGGGGATGGGGTGGACTCTTATTATAGTCTCTTGGTCTGTATCTTTCTGCAGTGCATCACTGCACATACACAAATCTGTATGTGTGTGTATAAACAGACAGAATGGACAGAGGTCTCATGCAATGTGCTCTTCGCCATTATATCCAAATAGTCACAATACCAGTTTACAAAGGCCAATTCAGGCACACTTACTCATAGTATAGTCATTTAACTGTTAAATCAATGGGACTGCTCAGTGTGAATAAGCTGGCAGAATCAGTTTGACTGTATTAACGTCCTGTTGGTTTTTTGTACAATATTTAGACCAGGGATCTCAAACTTGAATCACCACGAGGGCCACATGAGGACTAATACATTGGCCTGAGGGCAGCATCACTGACATCCCCCGCCGCCCCTGCTGCCTCTGGCCCCGTCGCCACTCCACTCCTTTCAAGAGGCCCACCCCTTCCCCGCCCCCATTCCAACCCCTTCCCCAAAGTCCCCGCCCCAACTCCGCCCCCTCCCTGCCCCTATTCCAACCCTTCCCCAAATCCCCGCCCATGCCCCGCCTCTTCTCTGCCTCCTTCCCTGAGCATGTGGCTCCCTGCTCCTCCCCCTCCCTCCTGGAAAGTGCTAAGTGCCACCAAACAGCTGTTTGGTGGCAGGAAGCGCCTGGAGGTAGGCAGAGGAGCAAGGACGCGGCATGCTGAGGGGAGAGAGAGCAGGAGGGAGGGGAGCTTGGTGGCCCCAGGAAATAACCCCGCAGGTCGCATGTTTGAGACCCCTGATTTAGGCAAAGATAAAGTGAAGGGAATGTAGTTGTGCCTTTATGGCGAAGAGCTAATGGCAGAAAAGGCAGCATTTCTAATGATGGGAGCCAGCAAGGAAAATGCCAGTATAGACAGTTTTGGGCCCCACACTACAAGAAGGATGTGGAAAAATTGGAACGAGTCCAGCGGAGGGCAACAAAAATTATTAGGGGACTGGAACACATGAGTTATGAGGAGAGGCTGAGGGAACTGGGGATGTTTAGTCTACGGAAGAGAAGAATGAGGGGGGATTTGATAGCTGCTTTCAACTACCTGAAAGGGGGTTCCAAAGAGGATGGAGCTAGACTGTTCTCAGTGGTAGCAGATGACAGAACGAGGAGTAATGGTCTCAAGTTGCAGTGGGGGAGGTTTAGGTTGGATATTAGGAAAAACTTTTTCACTAGGAGGGTGGTGAAACACTGGAATGCGTTACCTAGGGAGGTGGTGGAATCTCCTTCCTTAGAAGTTTTTAAGGTCAGGCTTGACAAAGCCCTGGCTGGGATGATTTAGTTGGAGATTGGCCCTGCTTTGAGCAGGGGGTTGGACTAGGTGACCTCCTGAGGTCCCTTCCAACCCTGATATTCTATGATAGATACAATCAGCGCTTAGATATTATGGTGATAGATGCTAGAGGAAACCCTGACACAGGTGAGAATAGAGAGAACGTGCTGCTTGTCAACAGTTTGACAGCCAAACATGCAGTGGTAACATTTGTTCCCTTAGGACAGGAGGAATGAAAAACAGAGGGTATCTGCTCCAGACCTCACAGAGCTGGAAGACAAGAAATCCCTAGATCAGGGGAATTTTAACCACCCATATATCAGTTAGATAACAAACAGCCTAACAGTCAAAGAGATTCCTTTTATAAACAAGACAGTTTTATGACACATGGAATATAGAACACAGCCAGAGGAGAAGCCATCTTGGATCTAAAGAAGAAGTGGTGAGAACCAAGAAGCACAGGAATTGCCAGACTGGATCAGAACAGTGGTCCAACTAACCCACCCCTCTATTTTGTCTGACAGTAACCAGTATCAGACACTTCAGAGCAAAGAAGGCCTCTAGTATATAGTTATGGGATAGCCTGCCCCCATACTCCACTGGGAAAGTTTCTTTCTAATCCATTAGTCAGTGTGTGGCTTATGCACTGAAGCATCCATCCCTTCCAAAATTCTGATTTCATCTTTTATTTTTAATTCATACACTAGTAACTCTGGATGTTCATTATCCATATAGTTGTAGAGTCTTTTTATAATCCTACTAAGTTCTTAGCCTGTTGTATATTGTGACAAGCAGTTGCACAGGTTACATGCATTGTATAAATAAAATATTTCCCTTTATTACTTTTAAATGTGCTGCCATTCAATGTCGATGAACTTCAGAATAATAGGAAAGATTGATACCGCTGTCCAAAAATGACTTGAACTCCTTGTAGCAAGGAATGGGTTAACTGAATACAAGGAAGGATTTCAGGAATGTAAAGTCTAGGGCTTGATCATGCTCTCACCAAGTTGAGAACCAGGAATTACTGGAAGTCATTTAAGTCCATGGGTTACGCAGTTGTGTATAATGAGTTTGAGTATCAGTATGGAACTCAGCAAAGGGATCCTAAGAGGCAACATACAGGGACAATGAACTTTCATACTACTTTTCCAAAGGAATTGCAAGAAACAAGCAGCAGTCAACATGGTTCCCCTTTTCAAAAATGCGAAGTCAAACTTATATTAGTGCTTTGTCATCTCCCCCCTTTTCAGTCCCTAATAGTGTCAGCAAAAAGCAGATAGTTGCAAGACTACTGGTATTTAATTGTTGGCTTTGTATAATTGCAAAATCGACCCATATTTCAAGTACCAATAATACTACAAACTTTCCTGTTTATCTCAACACTAGCTTTAATATTATTAGAATGAACATTATTCTATCATTGCAAAATTCTTATTTGTCTAATAGACGTAATATATAGGACCTTATTTTCTGAGGTGCTGTGAACCCATCGTCATTAGTTTATGGTACTGCCCATGATGTGCTGGTGCTTTCTAGACATTCAGAATGGGATCGTACCTGCCTCAGTGATCTATCAGCCTTAGGGCAGACAAGCAAGTAGACAGAGGTTGTACTGGGAAAGGGAAACAAAGATTTTCGGAGCAGGTCAATTAGATTCCCTGTAGGCAGTGGATAGAAAGTGGGTCTTTAAGGGGGACTTAAATGAGGATAGAGTAGATGGGCCCCTCTATGGAAGAGCTCAGGGAAATTGAACTATACAGGTGAATATACAACATGTATGTTAATATCACATATAATTAGTATATTTTTACACACATACCCCCATCCTCATGGCTGCAAAAAGAAAAAAAAAATCCTTCCAAATGTGAAGTTAGGCAGGGTGTAGAATTTAGGAGCGCCTCGTTTTTTCCAGTCTTATGCTCAGACCACTAGCCCAGGCCTCTCATTAAATTAAACCAAGCGTTCTCATTAAAAGCTACATGTCATGAATCTTTGAAATAAGCTCTATATTTGGTAGTGTCAATTAGAATTTGAAGGGCCTCTTCCAAAGCCCAGTGAAGAAGTAATCTGGCAGCACTCACCTCCTGTCCTGTAGCTACATCCATTGCAGTATATACTGTGCCTGAAGCGCTAATCAAAGAGGAGAGAAAACACATGATTAGTGCTAAGCAGCAAGAGGGATATCTTTACATAAAAGAAGAATTTTCCAATCCATTAAATTTTTATCTTAAATGAACATTTCATTTCAACTCTGTTTCCGCACAACACTTCCAAGAGCAAATAGCAATCGGAAATATTTATGAGCAAACCCCAATGGCTAAAAAGTGACATAGAACACAACAATCTCTTGACATGGTTAGGGTCTTGGACTGAACCTTGTTCTGGAAAATCACTAATTCGGAACATTTGATCCCATCATTCGATTTGATCCCATCTAAACTGACATGACAGCACCAAGGTTCCCGCAACATGGCAGAGATTAAAGGGTAGACTGAATCAGCGAGGCAAGACAGTCATGGCATTTGTAATGAGGGACAAAAAACTTGATCCTGCACCCACTGGATTCAGTAGCAAATCTTCCATTGTCTTTAATGGCCCAGAGAGAGAGAGAGAGAGAGAGAGAGAGAGAGAAGCCTGCATAGTTTTAAATGGAACAAAAGTTAACCATCTGTATACTCACTACAGGGAGAAAACATTTGTACAATAGATCAACAGCCATCTTAAAAAATGGAGTCAACTGTCAGTAAAGAAAGAGGTAGTACATCTGATACTCCTCCTCCTACACCCCATTGCGAGAGGACACAAAACCAACGCTGAGCAGAGAGGGTTAATTCTGAAAGCAAATCTGTAATTTGAAGATGCGCACTAGAAATAAGCAGTTCTTTCCCTGCACACAGATATATTTAGCAACACGGTCATCTAATGACATGTATTTTAATATTAAACAATCACACAAAACCTCACAGTCACTATGACTCAAGAGTATGAGGGGAGAGGGAAGGAAGGAAAATGTTATGATACTGTTTCCAGCAAACAAACCCAGCTTGGGTTTTCTGCTGTGTGTATAGTGAGTGGGGGGAAGCAGCATATACTAACCCTTGCCCGATCTTCTCAAACCGTGTGTATTTCTTTTTGGGGTCCCCCACGCTCACGATACTTCCTTTAAAAAAAAAAAAAAGGAGGAAGAGTGTGATTTAAAATTCTTGTTATACACCAATGCAAAAGCAATCCGTTATGCATCAAGGCCCCAACCTCACAATGAGCTCTGCATGGGTAAATGCCTGCGGCTGCACTGGGCAGATGCAGGAGCTGCTCACATGGAGTTCTCTGCAGGATCAGGGCTCAAAAGAGAACTCGTTTGCTGGAAGGCCATAAGCTTCACTGTCACCACAGTTAACATGCGGTGGATCCTCATACTTTCCCACCAGCACGGCTGCTCAGCTCCCTTGAAGGGAGAGGGCTGAGTGTAGAGGATAGGGATTTGTACCTAGTAGAGCTGGGCAGAGGAAAATATTCCATTTCACAGAGGATTTTGATAGCTGGAGATCTGGTTTCATTCCAATTTGGAACAAAACCCCAAAATGTTGAAGTTCTCCATGGAAGGGGACAGAACCCTCGCATGGGGCAGACTGCTTAAGGGGCTGCCCCAGTGCCACACCTTGGAAGCCACGGGGATCCCCAGCTGCAGGGCATATTGCCTGGTGGGCTGCCCCAAAGCCACAGACCCTGGAAGCCCTGGGATGCCTGGTTCCAAGGCAGTCTGCCTGGCTGGCAACCTGGCAGGAAACCAGGCAGGATTCTGAGAGAAACCTTCCTGGTTTCTAGAAGACCTTTGTCAAAAATCAGTGGAGTGTTTCGATTTCAATATTACTTGTCCTTCCAGTTACTGTTTGCAAAGAGCTTTGATCTTCACAACACCTGTGAGGGGTAAGGAAGTATCATCATCCCCCTGGGTAGGTTGGGAATCAGAGGGGAAATTAAAGCCAACCTTTCTGAAAGCACAGGCAGATGGAAAGAGCCAAAGCGGTGCCATTCTAGGAGTTAATATGGGAATTGGGAACAGAAGCATTTTTCAAAGTTAGTGTTTGCAAGTTACCTGAGCAGTCAGTATATGGTGGGATTTTCACAAGTGCCCAGAGCTGAGCAAGAAATACCAACTAGATGCATAGTAGCCTTTGCAGACCATTTTGCATTTAGTAATGAGGCCTGGAAACCCAGTGGCAAGCGATGTAAAAACAGGCTATTTTCAGACACCACTGGGGCGCAGCCAAAACACAGGATCTGGGGCAGACAGAAGTAATGGAGAGGAACAAGGGGGCAGCCCAACTACACAAAGCAAGAATTGACGCCACAATTATAAAAATGACCATTGCTCCTTGAGGATGAACTGCTAGGCAAGGGCTCAAGACACCTCTTTTCCAGTGTAAGGCCTGGGCCTTGGGTTCAGACTGTAAGTTTGATAACTGCTAGAGAGGGGTAATGACAGGATTTAGGAGGAGTTGGGATATTATTAAACGTTGGCCTTAATCTCTGCTTCAGTGTCCCCATCTGTAAAATGGGGTAATATTTCCCTGCCTCACAGGAGGTTGGCAAGATTAGTAAGGTTTGCAAAGTGCTGCATATGCGCTAAAAGTTCTTTAAAATCTTTCTATATTTGCAGGTGCAAGAAAAGCTGTTAAATTTTGCCAGACGCTGGGAAAGGGTGATGGGATGGATCACTTGATGATGACCTGTTCCGTTCACTCCCTCTGAAGCACCTGGCATTAGCCACTGTCAGAAGACAGGATACTGAGCTAGGTGGACCTTGGTCTGACCCGTATGGCTGTTCTTATGTTCCTAATTATGTTTGCAGGAGCTCTAAGTGGTTGTCAGAAAACCCATCTATGGGCCAAACTTGAACCCCAGTATGAGCAAGTTCAACTCTGCTCTCTTCAATAGAATTACACTGGGGAGACAATGGATGGCAAAGCTTCCAGCAAAAAAACAATCTTGCAGCTGCCAGAGGGTGTTGCTAAAGGCACCAATGTGAAAGAATTAACACAATGCAGAACACATGGCCCTTTAAAGCAGATCCAGCAAGGCTGACGCATTTAACACAACACAGCTGTGGTGACTTTGCAAGTGTTGCACTCACATTGCCTTAAATTAAATTAAATTATTCAGCGGATTCTATTTAATAGCCTTTTGTTACACAATAGTCACTCCTTTGCTCTCTGGGGCCAGGGGCTGTCTTTTGGGCCTGTATTTGTGCAGCACCGAGCACAATGGGGTCCAGATCCATGAAGGGGGACCACGGTAACACAAACAACAGTAAATCACAGAAATGTCAGGCTAGAAGGGACCTCGAGAGGTCATCTAATCCAGCCCATTGCGCTGAAGCAGGGCCAAGTAAATCTAGACCAGCCCTGACAGATGTTTACCCAACCTGTTCTTAAAAACCTCCAATGACAGGGATTCCACAGCCTCCCTTGGAAGTCTATTCCAGAGCTTAACTACCCTGAGAGTTGGAAAGTTTTTTCCTAATTGCCTTCAGAGGCGCTACCCTAATTTATACCAGTTGAGGAGCTGGTCCTGGATTTCATTGATTCATATTTGTGTTACAGTTGATCTGCAAGTCATGTTTTATTGTCTTACATTTTTAAAATTTGCTTGTGCCAACTGACTACTTAAACGTCAGAGGTTGGGGACCTTCAGGATAGCAATTTTACCCAGGTTTTGGAGCAGGGCCTGGTAAAGGCTTCTGTTAAAGGGAGTGGGAGTTTTAGTGGGGAAAGTCCCTTTTATTTGGTTTTGTTGGGAAGAGGGGAGAAGATTTTCTGAGGGTTGCTGCTGCTCTCAGCTGTACCAGAATGCTTTTAAAATGTTACAGATAGAAAGCAATTGTTGAACCATTGGGAGACATGATGGAAAGCTGGGCCTATGTTTTCCAAAACAACCAGTGATTTGGGGCATCTCAATTTTTGAGATGCCTTACCAGGACCTGATTTACAGAAAATGGTGAGTGAGCAACCGACCCTCTGACCACCAGTCCCCTTCAAAAAGGTGCCGGCCTCATGTTGGGCACCAGTCCCTTTAGGCCATGGTGTCTATGGGAGGAGAGCAATGTGGAAGTTTTCTAGCTATATCCTTTTGCTGATTTTATTTAGGTTTTTTGGGTGGTTTTTTGGTTTGGGTCACAGTAACACGCTTTGCTCACCTTCAGCCTAACAAAGTTAAATATAATTATCCTAGAGTTGAGAAAAAGCAACATCTAGGTTGGCTTCAGCTTTCACACTGAAAAAAATATATATGTCTATATTCAGGGCTTAATTGCCACAGGGTTTGAGCATCTGCAGCTCCCACTGGGCTTCACTTGTAATCATCATACTCAGCATGCCCGAAAATAAGTCTCTCGGTGCTTAAATTTGCACTTGAATTGGTCATTGAATAACACAAACATTGAGTCATCAAATGAAGCCTGAAGTGAAAGATCTCAGAATGTAACTGTCACAGGATCTCTGCTTATTAAGGATTTGGGAACGGAATTTGCCTCTAAGTCACCAAATAAATCAGAATATGGATTTTAAAAGATGACATACTTAATTTTTCCAAGATTTCTTCATCTGACATCTTCGGCTTTTTCTTCTGTTTCTCTGTATTCCTGGTCATTGTGTCAGGGGATGCTGTGTTGTTTTCAGAGGGTGAAGAGATAGGCGAGGTGGCCACATCTCTGGTAGGAGGCGGTGGAAGGGGCTCTATCACAGAACGGGTGTACACCTTTGCGTTGGGAGGCAAATATGTTTTATTAAAGGAAGATTAAAAATAAAAGACCTCTATGCACAAGACATATGTCCTTAGCAGTAGCATGTGCCAAACACTGAAAGAAATATTACTACAGTAAATAGCATTACAACATTAAGAGCTCCATGGTTGGATGCACGGAGGCTGCTCCATTAAGCTGCTCTATGAAAAGCCATGAAGTAATTTACTCCTCTCCCAGAGCAAAGGAGTGTGATTCCCAGCTCAAGAAGACATACTCATGCTGGCTCTGATCGCCTAGCATGCTAAAAATAGCAGTTTGGCTGCAGTGACATGCAACAGGAGGGGTAGGCGCTCCAAGTATGTACCCATCTCAGACCATAGATACGTATTTGGGGAGGCTAACCCCCACACCTCCTGCCACCCCGGCCATATTGCTATTTTTAGCATGCTAGCTCAATCAGAGCTAGCGTGACTATGTCTCCTCGAGCTAGGAATCACACCCCCAGCTCAAAATATAGACATACTCTGGGTCACAATTTGTTCTCAAGTATGTTCCTGGGGAAGTGCAGCTGTGCACCACCCCTTACCCTGGCCAGACTCAAGTTGCAGACTAGCCCAAAGTAGTGAAATCTGTAGGAAGGGAACAAAGATTTCCAGCTTGCTCACTGATTTTGTGTGTTCAGGTCGTGGAGCTATCACTGGGGGTGGAGCAGCATCATCCTCGTCATCTTCATCTTCTGAAACTGGCGGTACTGCAGGGGTCTCTGATACAGCCTTCACATTCTGCATTTTGGTTAAAAGACAAAAGATAGCCTTTGGAGTCCCAGAATAATTTTTTTTTTAAATCACTCCCCACAGAAATGGAATCATGCTTCTAACATTTAAGCCCTTCAAATCACAACTGGAATGATTATCAAACGGGTTTGACAAGAAACCGTGGTCAGATCTCTTGGATTATGCTATAAAGTGACAATTTGATGGCCTACGCATACAAACACTTAAACCCACTAGGAAAGTTATGGAACTATTCACATGAGCACATGGGTGTTTGCAAGATCAGGCCCTAAAAAAAATCCATTAACCAGGTTTCTTGGACTCCTGAAGGCTTGCTCAAAATTCTCTGTTGGATAGTAATGCACGCTGGAGGTAATTTGAGATGCATTATGCAGCAACGCCTCAATATCAGATATTTCTGGTTGTTTATAGAAATAGTATTGCGCTATAAATTACTAGCTAAGGCTCTGATCCTGAAATGTCCCTGCAGGGAACCTGTTAAGAGCTTAACCAACACATTCCATTTCAAATGGGTTTAGCACAAGCCCTCACTTAAGAGAGAGGGCTGCCCAGAAATTAGCATTATGTGGGTGGAGAGATCCACTGGGTATGGTTTGACCAAAGGTGTCTATGCAAAAAGCATGGGAGAGACACTGAGTAAGCAGCTGGCAACTTAATCCTGAAAATAATCTAAAGAAATCTGGGGTACTGTCTGGAAAGAGTAGTTTGGGTGCTGAGAGCCAGAACATTGTACCCTGTTTGATTCATTCTCAGGGAAACAGGATTTTCTACATTCCTTGTAAATAAACAATGTTGCAAAATACCAGACTCCATCACTGACTTCTATTCCCAACTAGAAAGCCCTAGGGCCTCGAACTTTGACTAGCTGCTCAGATCAGCAAGGGTATGAAGTGTCATTGAAGGCGATGAAGCTCTACACATGGTCAGATTGCAGAATGAGGCTAAGTCAAAACTATACTTTGCTACATGATTTTTTTCATTACATGAAACCACAAAGCCAGATAAAAGGGACTGCAATTGCACATGGCTGTATGAAGAGACTGATCTTTAGAAGCAGGAAAAGCTTGTTTTCAATTTAAAGAGATCTGTGCCTCGATTTCCCCTCTATACAATGGGGATAACTTATGCTCATGGCATACAAACAAAAATCAGAGTATTTTATGGTGGGTTTTTGGGGGGGTTTTGGTCTTTCTGGAAGGTTGCAACATAATTACTTTTATTCTTAGAATCCAGAATGATAACACACAGTAACCAAAATCAGAGATAGACAAAGCAGGCTGCTCCATAAGACAGCAAGGCACAACTCACCCCACCTTGTTCTTGAATTGTTCTCTGCAGATTGATGAGTGATTGTATGTTTCCCTACAGACCCCCTAACTTACGAGCAGGACCAGGAAATATCCCATACCACTCAAAGTGATAGCTTGCAATTCCAACAAGTTTCTCAGTGCACCACAATAATAATAATCTTTCATCTGACTAGGTTCTAGGCGCTCCCGGTGGGGACTGTCTCTCACTGCACATTTGTAATGACCAAAACTGAATTTAATAGAATTCAGTTTGATCTAGAGATGTGTCCAGGAAACAAAATTTTGGGTGCAGATCCAAACTGCATAGTTCAGGGGTGTTTGGATCCCATGTTTTGGTTCAGGTCATCTAAATCCGATCTAGTGCAAAGTACACTGCAATTTTAGGTAAGAGGCTTCCGATTTTAGGACTGGACTCAACAGCAGTATGTCCAGCACCCATATTTTACACAGCTCCTACAGTGTGGATATCTGACTTGTTTTTAATCTGGTCTATATGTGCTTAATACCTATGTCCCTGAAAGCAGCATGATTTATGCATAAAATGTTCCCAAATCAAAGCAACTAGTGGTGACCTGCATATCCAAATCGACATTATGAAATGTGCCTAGGACACCTGTCCCACTGGGAATTGAACCAAGTCTACCAACAGTCATCAGATGGTAATGATCTGGGACAGATCTGAACAGGGCTCTTAGAGAATAAAGGGCTCCTTCTTCATTTACCATTCTCCTGAGCCATCATGTCACCCAGCTACAGGTGAAGGTAGTTTTCAGTCCTCAGATTTGTTTTGTGCCACTTTGAGTCTAGGGACTGTGAGAGTTTTTCTTCAAGTATGGCAAGCAAACAGACAGGCTCGCTACTTCTTTCCCAAAGATATTATTAAAAATAGTGACCAGACCTGTGATTAGTACCAGTACCGCCCCCCCGCCCCCCGTGCAAAAGAAACCAACCTGCTTTTCCAGTAGATTCTCATTCTGGGACAACCCTAAGTGGCAGGAATAGATCCTGGGCAGATTGTTAGCACAGCTAAAGCATGTTGCTGTGCCAACAAAACAAGGGTTGGCAGAAGCACCGCACTGATTTTAATAACCAGAGTAATAAATAACACGGCTCTGGGTGCAGATTAACTTCCGTTGCACGGTGTTTGTTATGGTCTCACCTACTGAGAAACGAGACTGACTTGTTCTCACCTAAACAGATGGCTGAGATCATTGTGGCCTCAGCACCTCTATATCCTTACAGCGATACCATATTCTCCAGCAGCAGTCAGACACTGTCCCCTGCACTGATGCTGTGGAAGGTCTGCATGCCACCCCCTTTCCATATTATGGTCAGGGTTGGGCCCAAGCCATGAAGTTTGGATCCAAATCCACACACTTTTCCAAAGTTAAAGGATCAGGCTGAAATCAGATTTAGTGTTGTGGATCAGGCTTAATACTGACAGGTCCTACTTCAGTAATACATATGGGATATAGTAGCTATATGGATCTAGAAAGCCTTTTCAAATCTGATAGAGTCTCCTTATTTCTACATATTCATAACTGAAAAATAATACACTTCACAATCCCTTCCTACATAAGGGACACAGTCAACAAACAAAAACCAAAATCACTACTGCCTGAATTTTTTGTAAACTTACTATTGATAGAAGTGACAGCCTAAACTGACTATAACAAAGACTGGTAAAAACAAAACTTCTCTATTTTTCCAGTTTCCTTTGTTTATCTGAGCACACTTTGTATACAGTCAATTTCACAGTTTCCCTGTTATTGTCATTCGCCTGTTCGTGTGGGACAGAAACAGGACAAATTTAAGTGTGATTGTAAAACTACAAAAATTAGCAAGGGCTACTCAGGGAGAAGAGTAGAACCTGAAATTACTTTTATTTATTATTTTGAAATAGACTAGATTTAAAAATCCTAGTATTACTTTACAAAATAGTGACTGTATCAAAGTGCATATTTCCCCTGATCACCACAACAGTAATATTTGTCTTCATGCTTTGGGTTCATTTTTAGTTTTGATTGTTCGGTTTCCCACCAGTTCCTTAGAGCTGGCAGAGAGACAGACAATATTAAACCAAAGTTACATCTGTAAAATTTAGTAAGTTTAACTGACCCTACGTCTCCAGCCTTCCTCATACATTTAAAAACTGAGGGGCACTTGCTTTATCAAAATTTGAGGGCCTAATTCTGCAAGACATTGAACGTTACCTAAGGAAGTTCTGACTCAAAAATTAGTAAGATAAGGCTGCTGAGCTCCTCACAGAATCAGGCCCCAGGTCAACAACCGGGCAAGATGACAGCTTCCCGCTTCCTTATTAGATGTTAGCACAGTTAAACAGTTTAAGTTACTTATGACAGACACATTTTTACAACAAGAGGAAACAGTTACAAAAGCTTACAATGTAAGTTTTCCGTTTCCTTTATAAGGCAGACCCAAACATAGTTGAATAGGCATGCACTGCCTCTGGATGAAGAGACAGCAAACTCACTCCAGATAAAGGTATTGTAGTGAGGAAATGCATTTAGGGATTAATAACAAGAATTTTAGTTATAAGCTAGGGATGCATCAATTAGAAGTAACGGAGGAGGAAAAGGACCTTGGAGTATTGGTTGATCATAGGATGACTATGAGCTGCCAATGTCATATGGTCGTGAAAAAAAGCTAATGTGGTCTTGGGATGCATCAGGAGAGGTATTTCCAGTAGGGATAAGGAGGTTTTAGTACCGTTATACAAGGCACTGGTGAGACCTCACCTGGAATACTGTGTGCAGTTCTGGTCTCCCATGTTTAAGAAGCATGAATTCAAACTGGAACAGGTACAGAGAAGGGCTACTAGGATGATCCGAGGAATGGAAAACTTGTCTTATGCAAGGAGACTCAAGGAGCTTGGCTTGTTTAGCCTAACTAAAAGAAGGTTGAGGGGAGATATGATTGCTCTCTATAAATATATCAGAGGGATAAATACCAGAGAGGGAGAGGAATTATTTAAGCTCAGTACCAATGTGGACACAAGAACAAATGGATATAAACTGGCTACCAGGAAATTTAGAGTAGAAATTAGACGAAGGTTTCTAACCATCAGAGGAGTGAAGTTTTGGAATAGCCTTCCAAGGGAAGCAGTGGGGGCAAAAGATCTATCTGGCTTTAAGATTTTAAACTCAATAACTTTATGGAGGAGATGGTATGATGGGATAACATGGTTTTGGTAATTAAATATTCATGGTAAATAGGCCCAATGGCCTGTGATGGGATATTAGATGGGGTGGGATCCTAGCTACCCAGGAAAGAATTTTCTGTAGTATCTGGCTGATGAATCTTGCCCATATGCTCAGGGTTTAGCTGATCGCCATATTTGGGGTCGGGAAGGAATTTTCCTCCAGGGCAGATTGGAAGAGGCCCTGGAGGTTTCTCGCCTTCCTCTGTAGCATGGGGCATAGGTCACTTGCTGGAGGATTCTCTGCTCCTTGAAGTCTTTAAACTACTATTTGAGGACTTCAATAGCACAGATATAGGTGTGAGGTTTTTTGTAGGAGTGGTGGGTGAAATTCTGTGGCCTGCGTTGTGCAGGAGGTCAGACTAGACGATCATAATGGTCCCTTCTGACCTAAATATCTATGAATCTAAGATGATGATGGAGCGGTTATATTTTTGTAAATTATTTTGTTTAATCCTTTTGTGTTTGCTTACTTAAAAAATACCGCACACACACACACACACACACACACACACCCAATGTCCGACAAACAGCAAAACTTTTAAATTGTATCTTCTCAGTAAAGGGAGGTGCTGAACATGTGCTGGAATAGTTGGAGTACAGGTCAAGAAGAGAGAAGACCTTTCATTTTATTTGTCAAGATTAATTTAGTTAATCATCAACAGTGGTTTACTAATCAGACCTTGCATGCTAATAATTAAATTTGGTCAGACCATAGACATTTATTGATATCTGATAAAAAACAGGCTGGCTTTCATTTTCCAGATTATTTCGCACAGGGGAAACTGCTGTTCACTAATATAGAGTCCAGAAATAGATCTGTTTCTATGAACGCAGCAATATTCGCTAACAAAAATCACTTGGAATATAAAGCAGTAAACTCAATAGCAGAGTTTACAGGACAAGGAAAAGAAACATTTGTAGGCCAGAATGACAGACACCCCAATTTATACCAATTTTTAAAAGTTAAGATGACAATTAATTCTGCTTAGCAGTGTTCCCTCTAATTCTTCCCACACATGTGTGGGATGAATTTTGTTATGTGCACCAACATAGGGATGAGGGGTTTGGGATGTAGGAGGGGGCTCCAGGACTATAGTGAGGAGAGAGGACTCTCTTCCCACAGCAGCTCCGGGCTTGGGCTGGGTTTGGATCGGGCGCCTCTCTGCCGGCCGCAGCACGTCCCTCACCAGCAGCCCAGAGCAGCAGCAGCGGCTGTGGGCTCCTTTCGGCCCCCTCCCGCCCCGCCTCTCCCTGTCACTGGCAGGCAGCCAGCGGCTGCTGCCTACTGGTTGGTGATGGAGGCAGAGAGAGGAGCCCTCAGCCGGCCACCTGAGAGGAGCAAGTGGGTTCGGGGGAGCGGGGTCGTAGAAGCCCTGGGCCAGTGGGCCTAGAGAAGCGTGAGGGAGGGGCTGGAGAGGAGCCAGTCTTGCAGCCGCTGGGCCGCAACACAAGTGAAGTGGAGCACCGGGCCGGGCTGCGGGGCCCCTGCCGAGCGTGGGCCCGGTGCCATGATAAACCAGGTACTGTCCGGGCCGGGCTGGCTCTGGGGAGCCCCGGCAGGTCCAGGGCTGGGGGAGAGGCATCTCTGCCCTCCGCAGCTGTAAGCACCTGCGCAGTGCTTGATAGACAACTGCACGGCAACACAGCCTCGCTGCTTAGAGGGAACTTAGCTGCTCAGCCATATTTTGGGTAGGCTAGAAGTGAAAGAGAATGTTGATTTTAAATATAAAAATGTCTCTCCAGCTATAGTTTTATTTTATGCACATTGTTAAACTTAAAATATAAAAAATATATGATGTTTTTAAGGCCCGGCTTGACAAAGCCCTGGCTAGGATGATTTAGTTGGGGTTGGTCCTGCTTTGAGCAGGGGGTTGGACTAGATGACCTCCTGAGGTCCCTTCCAACCCTGATATTCTATGATTCTATGAAACAAACATTAATAAAAGAAACAGAAAGCTCACCAGTGTATTTGATGAACTGTACTCCTCTGCAGATTTATCTGAAAACAAAACAGAACAGATACAATTGGAATTATTATAAATTACTTGTATCACTGCCCAAGCATGCCAGGCACTGCACAAACCCATAGTGACAAACACTGCTCCTAAGAACTTTCAAGCTAAACAGAGGGTAGGAGAAAGGAAGTATTATCCCCAATTCACAGATTGTGACTCATGGCACAGAGTGATTAAGGGGTTTAAGTGACCTACCCTGCATCACACAGCAAGTCTGTGGCAGAACCAGGGATTCAACCCAGATCTCCTGGGTCCCAGTCCAGTGCCTTAGCCACAAGACACCAGACTAGCATACTGAGCCCCATGAATACAAATGGAAAACTCAGAAGTGCTCAAAGGTGTTTTTCTTCAATCTTTGGCCTCTAGAGAATGCAAGGGTAGCAGATGATCAAGAACAGCTTAGCACTTAAAAAAAAATTAAAAAGGGACAGAGTATTATGAAGAAGACTTAAAGTATAGTTCCAGGTGTAGATATTCCATGTTTTTGTCCCACTACTAATGTGACACCTTTTGTTCCAAAAAGTCCAGAAGTGCTTTCCAAGATATACATGTCACTTCCCCCAGCACTGGAATGCAGCCATCTCAGATGCTGAGCCACCACCAGGGGTGTTTGGTGGGTAACAAACCTGTGACCTTAGCTGGTAGCAACAGCAGGTTCTGATCCTCTATGTAAACCAGCCCCTACTGTTGGCGCAATACATGTAGCCAGGGCCTTATGCAGGCTTTTCCAGAAGAGTGAAAAATGCCAGTGAACAAAAGTCTGTGCAGAAGCACTCAAGAACTGAGGATGGAGCACACAGACCCCAGCAGGGGAAGCTATTACAAATTCCAAGACATTTCTCGCTTCTTTGAGCAGTTTTTAAAAGAGGCCCCAGAACCATGACTTCCTCAGCCCCAACCTCACTGCCACAGACAGAGCCGGCTCTAGGCACCAGCAAAACAAGCAGGTGCTTGGGGCGACACATTTCTAGGGGCGGCATTCCGGACACCGGCCATGCCGCCCCTAGAAATGTGCCCCCGTCGCCCCAGCTCGCCTCCGCTCCGCCTGCTCCCCTGAGCGCGCCACCGCCACTCCGCTTCTCCCCCTCCCCTCCCTCCCAGGCTTGCCGCGCACAAAACAGCTGTTTCGCGCAGCAAGCCTGGGGGGGGAGGGAGGAGAAGCCGAGTGGAAGAAAATCGCATTTCCTTTGTAAAAACAACTCTCAAGGTGTTTTGGCATTTGTTTGTTCGTTTATTTTAATTTTTAAAAGAAAAGTCACAAGGACTTATCAGGGAGTCACATTCAGTAATGCAGAATCAGAGATTTACCACATACCTGTGAAACTCATGTACTTCTGACTGTTGGAGGTCTTTTTGGAATTGTAGAATTCTAGCACATCGAGCACTGCCTGGGGGTTTTTCTTCTGCTCCGATTTGGTGATGTTGGAGGTCTGCAATAACCGAGCCCACTGCTCTGGCATACCCTGTTTGAGACATTCCAAGCAGTTAGCACCAAACTCTTGGATGCAGTCTACACTCGGCCTAAGGTTGTTTAAAACATTTAGTTCGGCCACTCAGTTTCTGGGATTTTTCATTGTTTGTGAGAAGGCTTATTGGATTCACACCTTCTCTTCGCCCAGCAACCTAGGTTTGAAATCTAAATCCAGATAGTGCAGTCCCATCCATGCAGGCGAACCCTCATGCTCATGTGGAGTTTCACTGAAATCAGCGGGCTCTGAATAGCCCCATAGCTCTGAATCCCGAAGTTCAGATCCAGCTCCCAAAGTTCAAAAGAGGAAGAGGCAGACCCTGTGTTTTGGTTCAGGAAAGTCTTATATGCAATATAAGAAATGTACAATTATGTGACTATCCACTTGTAAAATGACTACAGTGGTAATTTAGATTGGAAGCTCTTTTACCACGTTTGCACAGCACCCAGCACAATCGGGGCTCTGATCCGGATTCAGGCCTCCTGGTGCTATTGTAATGCAGTAGTTCGATAGGCACCAAATCATATTTTGGCCCAGTGCTGGTTGTGACCATTTGGTAATTCTAACAGCATCTAATTGAGTGTCTCCCAAACATTAAATACAGAATTTCAACACAGAAACGTGGCTTTAGCCACAAGTGAAATAAATTTGGTGACCGCATTTGTCAAGCTCACAAAAGACACTGAATAATTTGGTATTATTGTTTTTCATACTGGTGTGTTAGGGACTTTACAGGTTACGGCTCCGCCGCCCCTCCCCCAATAGCTAGTCTACATTCAAGGATAGATTGGTGGATCTGCTAGTCAGATGTGACAAACTGTTGCATTTTGGTTAGCTCAGGAGAGCCCCAGAGGCAGTGATATGAACTACTACTGAGTGTAAGCAAGATTACAGCATAACCCTGTCCTCCCAATATTCTGCACATCAATAAAAAGGATAATGCGAAATAGATGCCATTAGCCTAAGGAAAGCACATGCTGCACACGAACAGGAGTGTTTGTGGGGAGCTGGCTGCTTCCTAAAGGAGAACTTTGAAGCTCAGTGAGACATAGCTGTCAGGGACAGCTTAACCTTTTCTGTTGCCCTGGCCCAGCAATGCAAAAAAAGCTGGCTCACTGTCCACTTCAACTAAGAACAGCTAGTGAAAAACTGGCCCACAGACCACCTTTCTGAAGCATATTGGTGCCAGGTTTGACAACTGGCAAACTTCCAGCAACCAGGTTATATTACTCCTGAGGGAATTCTGTGCCAAAAAAAAAAAAAAAAATTCTGCGCACATTTTAAAATTCCACAAAATTCTGCAAATTTTATTTGTCAATAAATAAATGTGGAGGCTCCAGCAATGGAGGCAGTGAGGAACACAAGCCACTGGCTGTACAGAGATGGGAGATCACCTGCAGCCCCTGCCCCAGGACAGGGACTCGGCAGTGAGGCTGCACCTGACCCTGACACAGCACAAGGGCCAGGCCTCCTCAGAAACACCCGGGGCCCTGCCCCTCTGTGCCAGGCGCACCAGGTGTGGACGGGCAGGCTCAACCCAGCAGAATCCAAGTGTGGAGGGGCTCAGTGTGGGTTGAGAGGGTTCTGTGTGGTGCAATCTGGGTGTGGGCAGCTCAGTGGTGAATGTGGATGCACAAGGGCTCATTGGGGGGTTCCAGGTGCAGGGGGAATGGGATTCTGCAGAGGGGTCCAGGTGAAGGTGATTGGAGCTTGGCAGGGAGGGGGGGCCTCAGGAGGATGGGGGTGCTGCTGCTGAGGGGACACCGCATGCCGGGTTTCTACTTCCCACCCCCATTCCTTCCCCCTTCCCCATTCCCTCCTTTTCCCCTCCCCATAGTCTCCTACCCCATCCCCCTCCCCTCACTCCTATCCCACTCCCCCTGCCCTATCCCACCCCCCTTACTTCCGCACTACCCTGCCCCACTGTGGGCACTCAACCTTGTACAGAAAACAGGAAGGCTCCCAAGCACACAGAAGAGGAGCACAACCAGCACTAGGCCCTAGGAGGCAACATCCAGCTGCAGAGTCAGCAGCCGGAGCTGAACCTTCCTTCAGCCAGGTAGGTCTGCTCTTGCAGAAATGGGGGGCCTCCCCACTGGAGGCAGTGGCATGTGACCCCGCATGCTCCCCCACACCTTGCCTCTGTTGGAGGGCAGGGGCAATGCCTCCCCCAAACTCGCTGCTCTGTGCACCAGAAACCATGTGGGCGCATGACTGCTCTTGAGGCTTCCCTTTGCTTCCTTGTTATTTTCTGCAGAGAAGCAAAGAAATCTGCGGAGGAACCTGAATTCTGCATCCACGCAGTGGCACAGAATTCCCCCAGGAGTACTCTACACATGAATTACACTGGGTGGGATTCTCTGGCCCGTGTTATGCTGGCGATCGGACAAGATGATCACAATAGTCCCTTCTGGCATTACTTTATGAAAGATGAATATGTCCCAGCTCCACTAATGATAAACAACTGTGTAATCCTCCTTTCCCCCCAGAAACACTTACCGTGAATTCTCCTGTGACAGCATCAAATCCAACATGAATCGTGTGTTCAAAATCTGAAGGGAGGGAAATTTCTGGCCGTTCTTTCTCCTTCTTTTTATTGGCTGTATATGAGAGAGAGAGAGAGAGAGAGAACGAACATCAAGAACAAAGAATACTTCCATGGCAGTTCACAGTACATCCTCTGCAACCAAATACACAACAAAAACATACGATCTGTGGCAACGTGAAAAAGATTCTGACTTCACACTGATAAAGATTTAATGTTATGGGACAACCATATTCTGATATTCTTGATATTTGCATTTGTAGGCCACACAGAGCCCAGAGAGGGTGATGAGTCCACACACAAATGGGAGAGACTGTCCCGCATAGTTTATGTTTTCCAGCTGCTGTCTTGTCAACTGCAAAACAAATGCTACTCAGCTATATAGGCAGACCTTGTTCCCCAAAGTATTCATATCACCAAAACGGAGGTTTTAAAGACACCCACCTACCCTAAAAGCCACCATTTTAACCCATTATATTGCAAACATGTATTGTGTTTTCCAAGTTTAACCAGGTAGTCTTATTTGAGTCCTGTGCTCATAAGACCAGATTCTGCTCTCAATTGTATCCATAAAAATCCAGAGTAACATTATAGAGGTTAATGGCTTTACTCCAGATTGATCATGTACTGTGAAACAGAGCAGAATAAGGTACATAGCCTTAAACGTTTGTCTAAAACAACATTAAGTCCTTGGGTATTTTTCAGTGTAAGTGGAGAGAATGTTAAATAGTGACAGCTTTGGAAAAGGGAGGAATGAAAGAAGGGCAGATGGAATACTGGAGGATCCCACACGGAGAGAGACACTAGGAGGAACCAGAAGTATCTTCTGGTGAACAGATGTTGAGCATCTGCAGCATGCAGGGCAACCAAAGAGGGGAGTAGCAGCCGCAATTGGCAAGAATACAGAGGAAGCTGAGGGCAGGGAGAAGGAAAGTGAGACAAAGGTAAGCTGAGAAAGCCAATAGATCAAGGAGGCTCAGGAACTCTAAGACAACTGAAATGGATGTGTGAAGTACTAGAACAGTGGTTCTTAACCTTTACTGCAGCCTGCACCCCTTTGGTTCTCAAAATATGTTTTTGCACCCCTTATCAAAAATTGTTGAAATAGGTCAGTTCTTTAAACCTAGATATATCATAATTACAGAATGAAAGAGAGAGAGAATTATATACATATAAACATAGGTTTGATTAAACAAAGTAGTTGTACTTACATGCCTGTGCTTAATTTGTGTTTTCGATGATTTACCATCTAAAAAAATCTGGCATGTCTCGCACCCCCAGAAAGGGCATCTTGCACCCCAGGTTAAGAACCACTGTACTAGAGCATTAAAGAATGTTAGAACATTTACTGTCGAGAATTCATGGCACAGAACTTTTTAACTTCTATATTTGGATTTACTGAATACCAGGATATCCTGCTAAACACCTAAATTCTGCGTCTGTAAGGATACAACTTTTCACTAACCAACATCTCCAGCATCCATTTTCAAACAGCATAATGAGCAAGTCAAGCTTTGCTCCACTGATTGCAGCTACTGCTTTCAAATTCATATTAAATAAAAAAATGCATATTCAAGAAGAAGTCTCAATAAAACAGGGCTGTAGCTTGGATAAGCCTAAGTTACACTGACTGGGTAAACAATGTTTTCAATAATGAATTAAATAATTTAATTGCATCTACTGCATTAAAAATTCATAGTTCTCTCAATATCCAGCTCTCATGCAGAGATTAAATTGGAGATAAAGCCGCATTAGCTCATTCTAGTAAACATGATTGTGCTTTGTATACATGTGGACGTGAATTGTAATCTTTGTCAGGAATCTCACGATTCTTTTGAGGCCCACGTAACTGAAGTGAGTAACCCTGTGATCTTATGGCTGTAACATTGGTCTTTCCTCAAAGCACCAGCTTTCTACTGCTTATCCACCAGCCATGTCATGTCATGTCTAAAATTTGATTGTAAACTCTTTGGGGCAACCACCAACGACCTGATTCTAATCTCTCTTAATTTGTGCGATTCCTAACCTATGTGAGCAAGATTAGAATCAAGCCCCACGTTCTCCTGTTTGTCCAGTAGAGCCCCAAACACAGGGTTGGAGGTGGTAAAAAGAAGAGTAACTACTTCTAGGCCCGGTTTAAATAAACAGGCACTCAATGCTTAAACAGGCTTTCTGATTCTAATGAGCTTGCTCAAAGCGGAGAAACAGATCTCCAAGCATAAATGCATTAAAATATTAACCCTATCATTGCTTTTCATTGACGATACTGTATATCACAGAATGAGGTATAGGCTAAAAAGGATTAGATTTAAAGACACTTGCACTACACTTTAATCCCACTTTATGGATCTCTTACCCTGGGCTTTGTAATGGCACAAACGAAAACTCTTTAGGAGTTTCAGAAGAAAAACAATCTTCCTAGAAATACCCATCTATTGTTGATTTCTTTATTTCCATTAATGCCCCCATTAAACTGTAAGGTTCTGAGGAATAAAAGTAAACTGAAATGTATGCTTGAAAAATTTCAGTGAGTGGCCATGATTACATTCTCACAGTGAACCTTTCATAAACTAGCAAGTTTTTTCTGTAATGTGCCAGACACTGGGTATGAGTTCCTCAGATGAAGATAATAATTCTCTCTCAATACAAGGGGGACTTGCTAACTCAAAATCCTCGGTTGAGAATTCCAAGACAATAACAGACTTTCCAACTAACTAATATCTCCCGAGAGAGGCTGAGCACCCACAAATCTCACTGAAGACAACGAAGCTGTGGATCAGCACGTCTAGGCATGACACCCCCTCACCGTTAAGTCTATATCCAAACATCAGAATTATGTCAGAAGCTGAACTACCCAGTAATGAGGCCAGAATTCCACAATGCTACCCAACCCGCACAATGGAAAAGCTAGCCACATAACACCATAGCTCCCAGGCATTCTAAGTTGGAGCTCCACCAGGGACAGCTTCAGATTCACCCCACAGAACCTCAAGTCATCTTACCACCTCTTCCTGAGCCACTTGGAAAAGTCACCTGGAACACTTCCTACCCCTCTAGCATTTCAGTAGGTGGTGCTATTGTAGCCATACAGCAGACAGCTCTGCAAAGGAGAAACCATCATCATTCAGCTCATTGAATCAATGAGGTTCTTTCCATAATTGTTTTATATGACTTGCTACCGAAGTATTTGCCAATACTGCTTTCTGCAATCCTCAATTTATAATAGTATAAAAAAATCAATCTGAAGTCCAATATTATTGGTCAGGCCTGCTCCTCAGTGTGCCAGAGCTGTACAGTCTTTATGCAGTTCCATCACAGTAGAGATTATACCCTACCTTAATTAGCCCTTCTTTTACTCCAGCCAACTCAGTAGCTGAACTGTAAGCCTTAATTAAGCTGGGTTCTTGTAGTAATTAGGTTCGTGCATTAGGAGATTCTCTAAGGCTGATCAGCCAATGGATTTTCTATTGACAATTCATCAGCACTTCACATCAGGAGTGTGGTAGCCAGTCGGAGGTTACTTGAATGAACTCACATATTGGTCTGTCAGTCGTCCTACCAGGAGCCAGGGTGGCAATCAGGCTAAAAGGCCTCTGACAGAGGCAGCAGGAGAAAGCTGCCACTCTGGTTCGGGCAGGTGCATTGCAACAGAAGACTCTTCTGGCCTTGGCAATGATTCTCTTTTGCCTGAGTGACTACCATGTTGGAATGTCTACAAGAAGCCAACATCCTCTGACATCAATGGTGGTCTGCTCACGGACTTCAAATTGGAGCTGGATCACACCCTCGATGCAAAGAAAACCCAGAGCTGCTGAAGCATCACATTATGGCACTCCTCCTCTTTAGCTCCCAGTTTTGGTGGGGAAGGAAACAATCATGTCAGTATAGAAACAGACCTGGTAGCGTAGCCCTTTTATGGGAAGTACGCAGATAGTGGTCAGCAAACAAGCCTGCAACAGCCAATAGCAAGGGTGCTGTCCTATCTGCTAGAGACAAAAACTACGCAGGACTCAGATCTGGAAAGCTCCTTTGGAACAAGTTACATAACCTCAAAAGGCTCTATTACCTTGTCGTCGCCTATTGGTAGAAAAAAACTATGTATCTGGTGCTGAGACACCAAACACTGTACTTACCATTGTATACACAGTGGGAGAGAGAAACCTGGGCCAGTTTAAAAAAAAATAATAAGTAGATGTTTTATTAACATTTGAGAGCATGACAGGTAAAGGGGGGATAGGGAAAAGTTACAGACGTGTTATGACAGCCAAGGCTTATTTTCACCTAACTGCATGTGAACTGACTCACTTTTAACCAAGTGCTTTGCATTCATGTTTAATGGCATCGCGCATCCTTAACATACCTACACCCCTACTGGAGAATGGCACTGTAATAGATATGAAACTGACTGTCTGCTTCCCAGAGCAGGTTAACTAGTATAAACAGCAATTAAGTTACTCTTAGGCCACAGAACTAGGATTAGTCTTTTCCTTCTAGCAAGGATTTAGGAGTCTGACTCCTTATTGAAACAGCTGAAAATGTAGATACAAAAATTAGAGAAAGATCTTATTTATTTAGCACCCAACTACCATGGCGATGGACACTATGAATCCTTAAAAAGAGACTGAAAAAGGGATATATCACAGAAATGGGTTCCTTACAAACAGATTAAAGAGAGATATAAAAGGAAGCAGCACAAATTAAGGACTAGAGAATTTCTTTCATCATTGATTCATGTGATAAATTTACAACCTTCAAAATATACTAATGGAAGAAATTAAAATTGCATGTACAGTACATCAGTTCTGTCCCTTATTCCCATCTTGCCTGTTATATTCCTTATTATAGCTGAAGGAATTCATTCAATACAAGTTAATGGGCAAGAAGTTATAGGGATAGATTATTTTTAGCAGTGGACAATGTCGGTTCCAAAATTCTGAAATAAGATAGGATGACAAAGACTCATCTTAGACATTAAGCTCTTCAGGGCTATGGCTCACATAGCAACATGTGACAGGACTGGTAAGAAATGGTCTTTTAGGCATACTTGCACTCTTCCAGCCTGCTTTCAGTTTCACCAATGCAGAAGGCCAGCAGAGCTCCTTCAGAAGGCCCATCTGCAGTGGTTGCAAAAACCAAGACCAAAAAAACCCCCAAAAAACCCAACAAACAAACCTCACTGAACTTTGGAAAGGCAGCTGTGACAGGCCCTGAGAACAGGGACATTCCCAGTTGTCAGGGACAAAGACACTGTATCACAGATCTCACAGAAACACACACACACACACACATACTTTATCAACCAACAGACTAAGAGAAGGAATGGCGAGTTTGTGAGAGTAATGGCATGAATTATTAGGAAAGCAGATACCCAGCTAGTCACCACAGGCAGTCCTTATTCCCAGTATGGCCAAAAAATTTATGTGAACTATTAGACCTTGTGAACCATCCTCTAAATTCTAAAGAATCATTAACATCATTCCCCAGCAACATGCAAAGAGGAAACTATTGTAAAGATTAAAATACTGTACTTTTATCTCCTGGCAATATAGATCGGTAAAATCGGTCTCTCTTTTTCTTTTCTTCAGGGTTGGGAGGCAAAGGTTTTGAGCCATGATTTAAAGTCCCAGTGTCTTTGCTTCCAGATCCAATCATAGTGCTGGTATTTCTCATTGGAGGGGCTGGAGGCTTGTCTTCGGCTTCCACACCATTATTAGACATCTTCAGCAAAAGAAGCTGTTACTAGGACCAGGAAAAAGAAATAATCACTTTTGTGCATTTTTTTTAATTACAGTAGCAAATTGATCCTTCAAATAAATTGTGCATCAGCTCGGTCTTTTAGTTTATGTTAATTACCTGCAGATAACAAACTTGCATAAAAAATTTCTTATGGGGGCCAATGCACAGTCCCACTGAAGTGGTGCCAAAATTCCCATTTATTCACTAGCAATCAGGATTTGGCCCTTGGACCACAACTCTTAATCCAGTCATAATTATTTCCCATACAAAGACAAAGTTTAAAGGTTCTTTCAGAGTTACTGACATCATGCACTGCCTTTTAGGGCTATTTCATTTCATTGAGCTGGTAAAAAAAACACTGGATCCTCCACATGCACACAGTAACTCTTCATGTAAATCATCCTTAAAGTGCAGATTTAAACAAAGAAGCTACTGTACTTGCAGAATAACCCATTAGCAGCACAATTAACTCATTCCTCTCACCAAGTGAGATCAAAAGCAATCTTTATACAGCCCAACTGCACATACAACCTGTTGAAAAATGTTGAAATTTTTCATTAAAAATTCAAACAATTTCTGACCAACTCTAGCTGTAAAACAAACCAACCCTATTCCTCAGAATAATCAGATAACTTTCCAAATTTCACAAACAATTAAAAACAAAAAACAAAAACAAAAAAAACCACCTCCTGATTTGAGTCCTTTTATTTGGTAGCAGGTTCTGTCACTAAGAAAAGCCCAGCTCCAAAAAGTGATACAGTAAAATCAGAGCAAAGTTAATTTACAACTTCCAAATCTCCGAGTTGCTCCGGCAGGTGAATCTATGCAGGGACACAGCGATTGCAACCCTGTCTGAGGCGACAGCTACACTACAGAGCTTACAGTGGTGCTACTGTAGCACTGACGGTGCAAACGTTTACACCAATGGGAGAGAGCTCTCCCGTCGGCTGAGTCACTCCAGCCCCTGCGAGGAGGGGTAGCTACGTAGTTGGCGGGAGAAGCGCTCCCACCGACATAGGCCGCCCACTCCAGCACTTATGTAGGTGTCACTTACATCGCTCTGGGGGGTGGCTTATTCACACCTCTGATCAACATAAATTATGCCAACATAAGCTACAGGGCATGGCGTAAGAAGGCCACATTCCAGCAGGCGGCTTTAAAGTACAATAACCCCTCGCTTAACGTTGTAGTTATGTTCCTGAAAAAATGCGAGGTTAAGCGAAACAATGTTAAACGAATCCAATTTCCCCATAAAAATTAATGTAAATGGGGGGAGTTCGGTTCCAGGGAAATTTTTTTCACCAGACAAAAGACTATATTATATATTTATATACATACATATATATATATTATATTACACATACACACAGTATAAGTTTTAAACAAACAGTTTAATACGGGTACACAGCGATGATGATTGTGAAGCTTGGTTGAGGTGGTGGAGTCAGAGGGTGGGATATTTCCCAGGGAATGCCTTACTGCTAAATGATGAACTAGCCCTCAGCTGAGCCCTCAAGGGTTAACCCATTGTTCTTAATGTAGCCTCACCGTTTACAAGGCAGCAGGAATGGAGGGAGGGGAGACAGTATAGCAGACAGAGACAAAGACACACACCGCATGTGAGAGAGAGAGAGAGAGATGCGACACTGACCCTGCTCTAAGTACACTGCCTTTTTAAGTAGATCGGCAAGTTGAAACAGAAGCTGCTGCCAGGAACCTCCCTCCGTCCTGAGCCCTGTCATGTCCCCACCCTGCTCTATATGGAGAAGGGGTAAGCGGCAGGGCGGGAGCAGGAGTGAGGGGGACACCCTGACATTAGCCCCCCTCCCTCTTCCTCCCCCCCAGCAAGCAGGAGGCTCCCTGGAGCAGCTCCAAGACAGAAGGCAGGAGCAGCACACGGCAGTGGGGGGAGGAACAGCTGAACTGCCAGCAATTGATCACCTGCTGGGCAGCTGCCACACAGGGAACTTACGGGAGCTGACGGAGGGGCTGCCGGTCCACCCTGGTTCCGAGCACCCCCCAGCTCGCTCCAACGGGCTGCTCTTCCTGCAAGCAGTGGACAAAGCAGGCGGCTGCCAAACGACGTTATAAGGGAGCATTGCGCAACTTCAAATGAGCACGTTCTCTAATGGATCAGCAACGTAGCAACGAAACAACGTTGACCAGGACGACTAAGTGAGGAGTTACTGTATCAAAGCAGAACTTCATTGATTAGTCTGGCAGTCACAGCAGAGCTTGAGCGACACATTCAAGAGAGTCCCTAAGATCCTAATTTCCAGAGATACAGATGCTCCGCACCTCTGCAAATCAGGCCCTAGACCTAAGTTTCCCAGAGTGGCCATTGATTTTGAGTACCTCCTGCTGGACAGTTACAATGGAGACACCTTGGGCCACTGGATTCAATGAGACTTCTGGGTGCTGATGGCACCCAGTATTTGGAACCTAAGAAAGCCAAACCACAGCAAAGGCAGGTTATTACACCTCACCGAACATGTTTAACTTAGAAGCGGTGACTCCACACAAGCCTGTCTGGAGTCAGTGCTCCTAGAAATGAAATTTGTTTAAAGATTCTCATTTGGGACATTGGTTTGAATGTCAGAGGATAATTTTTGGCAGCCAGGTGGGGCTATTCAGCTTTCCACTTGTCTGGGCGTGTTCTGGCATCTACCTCCTGCCTCCTCCATAATTCAGGTCACTGGCCATCAGCCCCATGTCATTCCCCAGTGTGAAAATGAGCAAGAGCAAAAACAAAGCTGACAGCTGGAGATGCAGAGACCAGGAGCTGCATAAGAAGTTTGGGGGATTTCTTTTGGCACAAACGAAAACACACCAGTAACTCTGACAGCCTTTGGTGAGTAAATATCCTGTTTGACATGAAAACACCCGAGACCATGCTTATACTGAGCTGTCTAGCATACAGCAGCATCTCTGGTGCCTATAAAATTAGCAGCTCATCTGGATCCAACTGAAACAGAGAAAGGAACAAGCACAGGCTGCCCGGCAATCACTAAAGAAGCCCTGTGTTCATTGCCCTCACACACCTATGATCAGGAGGAAGCAAGTTACTAGGAGGCTGCTAGACAAAGATAGCAGCAGAAAGAGAGATAAATAGCCTCATACTTACCCAATGCCACTCCTCGGGAGCGAGAGTCACTTTTGTCACTGCTGCCTCTTTCCCACTCATCCCAGGTCAGGAAGTGTTGAGGGAGAATGATCAAGCTTTGACAAAAGTGACTATCGCTCCCGAGGAGTGGCATTGGACAAGTATGAGGCTATTTATCTCTCTTTCTGCTGCTATCTTTGTCTAGCAGCCTCCTAATAACTTGCTTCCTCCTGATCATAGGTGTGTGAGGGCAATGAACACAGGGCTTCTTTAGTGACTGCCTGGCAGCCTGTGCTTGTTCCTTTCTCTGTTTCAGTTGGACCCAGATGAGCTGCTAATCAGCCTCCTGGCTACTAGGAACTAGTACCTGGCCTGGTAAGCAGCCAGGCAAAAAAACCTACCTCCCCACTGACTCCCTCTCTCTTGCTGTGCCTTACTGCAGCACACTACCAGGAAACAGCGAGAAAAAAGAGGCAGTGAACACCAGCTGATCCCTTCACTCACCCATCTCCTGCCATGTTGGAAGGGACGCAGGACCAGAGGGGTGACCACAAGAAATAGGGAAGGAAACTGAGGAGAGCTCTGGGGACAGGGCTGGTGGATACAGTGAGGAGAAAGGATCATTGGGTGAAAAGGAGGGAGATAGTGGTGAAGAGAGGGAAAGAGAGGAGAGAACCATTTAGATAAAAATGGGGAAAGGGCTTGTGGCTAATGCCCGAGACCAGGAGACAGTTCAGCCACTCACCTGCTGTGAAACTCTGGAGAGGTCACTTTATCTACATGTGCTTCAGTTTCCTCATCTATAAAATGGGGATAATACCCCCTTCCTCACTAGATGGAAACACTTTAAGATCCTCAAATGGAAGGGGCTACAGGAGTGCCAGTTTCAGCTATTTTATTAAATAGGGGAAACTCGGGTGATCAGAAAATGCTCACTCACTTTAAACACGCCCCCCAAAAGTGACATTGCTCACCAGCGGATACCAGTTTTTCACATCTATTTGAGAACTCAGATTTGCAGCTCTCACCTAGGCAACATACACTGGATTCCTCCTCCCATTCAAGCCAGCCAAACCCTTCCTTGGGATTGCCCCACACAACATCTAGGATTGTATTAAAATCTGCATTTCCCCTGCTCCCCCAACCAGTACACAGAATGTGTATGGTCAGCCTCCTTCCTCCCCACAACATTTGGAAGGGGGAAAGGGGGAAACACTCCAAGCCACAGGTTTTTTGTTTGTTTCAGGATTGAAGGCCCCAGTCTCTTCCATGGCTTCTCCAGGAACTTCCTTGGAAAGCCCTGCAAGTTCCAGCAGCCCAGTCCTAGCAGCCCCGTTCCATATGCATACACCTGAGGTGGTGTTTTCACAGAACTTTGGGACATCAGCCTGGGATGTTTACTTGCCTGAAACAGAAAGAAAACTCACATATTCTGAAGTCCAAAGATTAAAATACAGAACACTGTCAATAGGACAGAGATTCTAAACGTACATTATTGTCAACATCCCACTAAGCTCAGGTTTTGCAGGATAGGTAGGAGCCTCGAGCGGAGTTTCCCGATTTGCATTTTCTTCTTAGCGTATGCACAACGTGCCTCAGGTGGCAGGTGACCAGGATTCATTGCCAAAATTTGGTCCGCTGGTTGGAGCATTAACTTCCCTGGCAGGGCCTGTGCAATGATATTTTGCACCCTAGGCGAAACTTCCACCTTGCGCCCTCCCTCCCCCCAGAGCATCGCTTATTATAAACTTTCAGAAATGAATACTGCATAATGTGGCATTGTTCATTAGAATTAATACACATTCAGCTTTTTTCTCTATTTGCAATGAGGCTGCATCAACTGAAAACGAAAAAAATGAAATTTTATTCCTATCAGTTCTTTTTCTTGTTCACTAGTAAA